CCTGTTGCTGTCATGGTATAGTTTCAGCGCTACCTCGTTTTTCACCAGTTCCTCATATACATCCTGCGCTGACGGATCAGCCATCACCCTCCAGCGTAGGTTTTCCACTTTCCTCACTAGATGAACAATCGTCGCCCTTATCCGCTTTCTCTCCTCCGCCACATGTGCCCTCATGCCTGCTCGCAGATTCGCAAGCAACCGCTCCAAACCCTGATCAGCTCGACTCTCCTGCGCGTCTAAGACCGCCGAGATTATATTCCTGGCTCCGTCACCGCTGGCCTGGGGGGCCTGCAATCTCCACAAGCCCGGGCCGTTCTCTTCCGACGAAGCCGACTTGAGCGACATCGCCACAGCGAACCAGTGGTCTGTCAATCCGTATGGGACCATGGTATGTTTCGCTTCCACCACGCAGATGAGAAGAGAGTGTGACACTAGGATCCTGTCTATCCTTGTGCTTGTGCGCGCAGATCTCGAGAAGAAGGTCACCCCTTACGACACGGGTGAAGACTGCGGAAAGCATCTTGCAGGTCCCACCCCGAACAGATCTGCAGAAGCCTCTGATTTTCTGCCGGCGTCCCCAACTTAAATGACTTGTCCAGCACAGGATCTGCTACAATGTTGAGGTCCCCCAGCAGGACCGTCTGTGGCGCCATGCTCAGGCTCTGCACGAAAGGTGTGAGAACGTCGCGGAAGAACACCCCTCTGTTGGTAGCTTGTGCCGGTAGGTAGACTGCTACTATTCTGCTTCTCAAGTCTTGCCAAGCTATCATCATGCTCAGGATCCGTCCCGAGTCATGCTTGACCACGTCTGTAAATCTCATTCCTTTCAGGAAGCCCAGAACCGCAACTCCGCCAGCTCTCTGTGACGGCGACACCACAGCCTGAGCCTCCGACCTGACTTGCGTCCAGAAGTTGTGATCTGCCGGGACTCGAGTATCTGTGAGGACCACAATGCTTGCAACCTTCTTTAACCACTTCGCACATCTTTCTTGTTTCCCCGCACTGCCAAGCCCGTTGATGTTGAGCTCGAGGAAGGTAAGCTTGTTGTGTTTATCCATTTAACCACTCCATTTGGCCCCACAGCATCCACGGGCGATTGAGCTTCATTGCAACGATACAGCCTGCTACAGCAAAAGACACCATAGCTGTCAGAATATTATGCTCTAGCCTGTAGTGGGGTGCTCTATAGCGAGTACAACCCTTCTAGGGTTTGCTATTTGTATCCTCATTCTTGCTAGTGCAACCTCCTCTTTTGCCTAAACTTCTCTTGCCTAGCTAGGACTTACCTAGCTATGGCGCCTTCTTCTACTGCTTATCTTCACATGGTATTAGAGCGATATGCTCCTGGCCTGTGGGCCCCACCTCACTGCTTCCGCTGCTACTGCTACTCCCTGTCCGCCGCGCGCCCCGTGGTGCGCGGCGTCGAAATTAGGGTTTTTTCAGCCCGCCGTGCGCCCCGAGGCGCGCGGCGGTTTTCTGCCCGCCGTGCGCCCCGAGGCGCGCGGCGGTTTTCTGCCCGCCGTGCGCCCCGAGGCGCGCGACGGGTTTCTGCCCCGTCACTCGGCGCGTCGCCCCCAGGAGGCGCTACGACGGGCGACGGGGACCCGCGCGTCGCCCCCCGTCGCCCGTCGTGGCCTGCGCGCGGCCCGTACAGCCGGGGAGGTTGAAGGGGGTGGCCGCCGTGAAGCCAGCAGCTCCAGTCGCCCGTGAGACCGTTGCGCCAGTCGCCCGTGAGCCCGTTGCGCCAGTCGCCCGTGAGCCCGTTGCTCCAGTCGCCCGTGAGTCCGTTGCTCGTCTGCCGCTACTTTTAGCCGCGGAGCCAGTTACTCCAGTAGCCCGTGTGCCAGTTGCTCCAGTTGCCAGTGTGCCAGTTGCTCCAGTTGCCCGTGTGCCAGTTGCTCCAGTTGCGCCGTGTGCCAGCAGCTTCAGCTGCCGCCCACTACCTCCTCTCCTCTCATAGTCTCTTTCTTCCTCCTCACTTGCCCGTTGTGACTACCACTAGCTTTGCTCATAATTGTGAACTTTAAACTATTGCTTCTTGAACTTGTGCTCAGAATGTGTGGTGACATTGTGATCCACCCTGAGCTTGTACTGCTTTGCTTGCTCTGCTGATTACACCCCACTTTGGCTATGGGGGTGTGTCAGAATATTATGATCTAGCCTGTAGTGGGGTGCTCTATAGCGAGTACAACCCTTCTAGGGTTTGCTATTTGTATCCTCATTCTTGCTAGTGCAACCTCCTCTTTTGCCTAAACTTCTCTTGCCTAGCTAGGACTTACCTAGCTATGGCGCCTTCTTCTACTGCTTATCTTCACAATAGCACCAAGTACACATCCTGCAATCCTGATACTGATGGCTACCTCCTCCCCCATCCATGGCAGTTCAGCTCCTTCAGTACTATCGGTTACTGCTTCGCCTGCTTTATAACAAACTCCTTCTTGAAGGCCGGCAGCTTCTGAGAGTACTTGCTGGCGCGCGTGGTTGAACCTTCCTTTCGCAGACCCCCCTTGTGCCTGGCAGATGCAATATGAGCCGTAGCTTGTTCGAAGCGGTTCCCCTGCGCCTTCTCGCACGCCGTCTGGACACAGACCCAGTCCTCCCGGGACCCTCCAGTGGAGGTAAGAATGATCGTCGGGTCCTTCATGATCCGCTTCAGAGGGGCTGAAGCTTTGAGGGAAGCCGCTGTGAGAGGAGAGAAGCAGGTGAGCGTCAGTAACATATAACTGTGAGATGAAAAAGGGTAAGCGAGTCGAGAGTTGAGACTGTATAAAGCCGCATCCTGTACCGTTGATCTCGTGAACCTTTTTCACTGTAAGGTTCCAGTTGGCGAAGTTCTCCTGGCGCACTATAATATAATGGTCGTGATAGCGGGACATGTGCTGGCCACCGCAGAAATCGCAGGTGAGTGACGGGTAGTGAAGGAGGTACCGCTTCCCTGAAGACGGCTCTTCAACAAAAAAACGCCAGCGATACTCGTCAGCCACATGTGGGACCACCAGTCCACGGATTCTGTCAGTATCCAAACCAGTAACAGGATCAGTTGTCCGATGAAAGCCAAAGCCACTGGCGAAGGCGCTCCTGCCGCGCTTAACCAACTTCGAAACCACCAGCAAGCGGCGGATCAGCTCCGCGGTAAGGTCAGCCGGAACCCCTTTCAGCACCACTTCCTTAGCGGTTGGGTTGAGAATGCATTCGCGCAGGAAACGCGCGTCTTCGGGGTGCTGCCAGGTAAGGCTGATGCAGTCACCATTTAAGCACTCATGATTGATAACCTGATTCCACACAAAGTTAGCGTCCCGGACATGGTTAAAAGTGACTTGCAAGCGGCCGAAATGCCTGCGCGAAAGATGCATCGCGGAGAGCTCCTGATAAGTCGTGGTCTGGAGCGCGTTAGGTGAGAGCTGATCTTTCCAGTCATCAAGCAGTGCAGCAATCGTGACCGCTGCACGAGTCACCTCGGCTTTCCTGTTAAAAGGCACCAGCAGCGTTAAGGAGAAACGCTTAAGTGCAATAACGCTGCTGAGCGAATCCGGCTCGAAGTTCATCCGAGTCGTCGCTCAGGTAACCGTCATCTCCGTCATCAGGAGCCATTTCTGACGCTGCATCATCGTCGCCAGATGCATCATTGTCAGCAGCATTGTCACCTCCGGCAGCACCATCACCATTTTTTTCCGTCGGATCCAAAGCGGGTGCGTCTGCATCAGCCACATCGTTGCCTGACGAGTTCCCTTGCCCATTGGCGTTCTGAAGGTCTAGCAAGTCTTCAAACGGTCCATTCACAACAGCCGCCTTGTCCCTGATCTCCCCTCCAGCGGATGGTGTCACAGGTAAGCCTTCTTCCGTGATTTCATGGTCGTTCTCCACACCCTTCTTGGTACAGCGTCCTTTAGGCGGCATCGTGCGATGATGAAAGAAGCTTGTCAGCCTGACAATGGCTGAAGGGAAAGCTGTTCTGAGCACAGACACTGTTAATGCTGGCTTCTTATGTCTCTTATGCTTGAAAGCGAACCTCTGCAGGTCCAGGTTCGAGACCCATCCAGCCAACAGCGGTGTTGACGAAAATCCTTGGGAACTGGAAACTCTGATATTGACGCGAGCTGGAAGCTTAACGTCATGGTAGAACCAATGCTGATAGAATCGATGCTGAGATAAAGCTTGATAACAGCCTTGTGCAGAAACGTGGCGGACTGATTGATGTACAGACGATAGCCTGGAACTCAAGAAACAGTTGTTTATGTTCCCGTTGTGAACATTTAAAACACACTGTCGCGTAGAGCTTAAAGCCACGCATCGAATGGTAACTTCAGATCCATGATCAGGCAGGAAATTGAGGCACATTGGACGTGTTAAAGCCGTCCGCCATGGCCATGGCTGCTGGCAGGTCATGAGCATCATGTGGGTCAATTGAGGTCCAGGGTATTAAATTTTGCTATCCATACCGATCGGGTTTGGGTCGGATCGACCTTGGTCGACCAGAGCTAACCCGAACATTGCGGCTCGAAGTTACAGTTTTTTTTCTAGAAATGTTGATACACGTTCGACCCACCTGCAACAGAATTGTCATCCGACTTCCCTCCAGGCTGGGCGAGATGTGGCGAGTGTCGACAACTCGCCGAACATTTTGTTACTCCAAAACCTTGCTAGATCTGCAATTTGTTAATAAATGGAATTTGGTTGGTGATTGGTAGATGAAACTCGAAGAGCGAACAATTTGGTTACGAAGATTCTCGAATCTCGTGATGGTGTTCTCAAGGTCTGGATGTTAGGGCATGACGAATCGGCCGCGCTAGTAGCGATTTGTTTTCTGGGGCGATCTGCTCATAGCGGCCCATGGTGCAGGCAGAAGTGATTTCAGATTAGGTGAAGTTTAGACTAACGACATCACCCTCGCTCCGCTCTCGCGTGCTTTGCGATTCCTCGCCTTGCTCTTTCTTAGCCGCCATTACTCCCGTCTTCCTCACTTCCCTGCTGCTCTCATTCCTGCTCTATTCTCTGCTCCAATGCCAGGCCCTAACAAGCCAAGTTGCCGTTCCTCCTTTATTCTCCTCCTCGTCATCTTCTTCCTCTCACCGTCTTTCAATGTGTCACCGATAACGCCGTGGACGGTAACGGTGACGTCGCCGGTGACAGTGGCGACGGCGGCGAAAGTAATCGGAGCGGAGAGAGTTACTTACAAGTCCCCGGATCCGAACGAAGAGGAGAAGTTAGAAGCTGCGTTAGGCAAGATTAAAGCCCCAGTTCAGGCCTTAACGGTGCCAACCCTCCGAAAGACTATAACGGAGCATTCTCTCGTCCTTATAGTGTTTTTCAATAAGGAGGATAAGGCGTTTCCGTTGCTCGTGGATGACGTGTCTGGAGCTAAAGCGGAGTTGACTAAGCTGGGCGTGACTGTAGCGATGGTGGATGGAATTGCGGCGGGCGAAAGCGTTCGCGAAGAGTTCAAGGCGTATGGCGACATGCCGAATTTCGTGCTCGTCAGGGACGGAGTTTTCAGACCAATCAGAGGCTACCCCGAGAGGTGCGATTGTGGTGTTTAATTGTGTATAATCAAGAAAGGATACGTCAATAGAAGCGTGGCGGTCATCGAAGCATTGGGGGTACTTTCTGGTCATCATGTTCCTCCGCTCATCAACCTTCTATCATCTCCTCCAATGTCGAGCCTATCCATTCATTGCCGGGGCACGTGATAACGCATTTGTTTTGATACGTCTCAAAGCAGACCCGTTATCACGTGGCTCCTCCGAAGACGAGGCTATCCATCCAATGCCGGGAGATTCGAGTTGCATTTTTTTATCACGGATTTCTTATCATTCTGATCTTCAAGTTTTGAGGTGCCTCAAAAGCGCTCATATTTCGGACCATCAAGCTCCGCTGACCAGAAGCAATCTCAGAGGTTGTTTTTTATTCAATTCAAAAATCTGCTGATCTGCGGGATTGTCGGCAGCTTGATGATCAGCAAGCTTCGCTGATCAGAAGCAATCTCGGAGGTGAGAGCAATCTCAGAGGTGAGAGCAATCTCGGAGGTGAGAGCAATCTCGGAGGTGAGAGCAATCTCGGAGGTGAGAGCAATCTCGGAGGTGAGACGCCAGCTGACCCGCGGCGCTGTCGGCAGGAATCACTTTTGAGAGAATTTGCCAGGCGGGCCTGGCAGTGACTCACCTCCATCATCAAAGCAGCTCTACGACAGCCATCCAGCTGCTCACAGTTCTAGTCTTGTACCCTAACCGCACATCCCCTTCCCTCCCCTCCTCTCCCCTCCCCTCCACAACCCCAGTGACAAGTTCATCACCTTTGTGAAGAAGCGCCTTGGGCTGTCAGTCACGCGCCCCTATTACTGACTGAGGCAGATATACAAGAATTCATCCTGTGACTGACAGTTCTATCCTTTTCACTCAAACTGCTACTCTCGTTTCCTCTCCTCTCCTCCCTTCGTCCCAATCCCAGTGACGAGCTCATCACATTTGTGAAGAGGCTCCTGGGCCTATCAGTCGCTCACCTCTCTTATCAACGCCGCTGTGCGATCACCCAATCCTCTCTCTGCCGCTATCCCAGTGACGAGCTCATCACCTTTGTGAAGAAGCGCCTGGGGCTCTCAGTGACGCACCTCCATTATCAATGACTGACAGTTCTCCCTCCTCTCTCCCTTCCCCAATCCCAGTGACGAGCTCATCACCTTTGTGAAGAAGCACCGTGGGCTCTTAGTGATGCACCTCTCCTACTGAGTCCTGACGGAAACAGATATCCCCGAGTTCTATCCCCTTCACCCAAACTGCTCCTCTCGTTTCCTCTCCTCTCCTTTTCTCTCCTCTCCTCCCCTCCCCGATCCCAGTGACGAGCTCGTCACCTTTGTGAAGAAGCGCCTGGGCCTGTCAGTGACTCACCTCTCCGCCTCGGAAGCACACAAGGCACACTCCCTGCTCGCTGCTTCCAACGCCATCGCCCTCGCCCTCCTTCACTCCCTCAAGGTTGGTGTGTGCGCCTCGCCTCTCTGTCTGCCCAGTCTGTCTGTCAGTCACCCACCTCGCCACCTCAGTCGCACACAAGGCACACTCTCTGCTCGCTGCCCGTCGCTGCTTCCAACGCCATCGCCCTCGCCCTCCTGCACTCCCTCAAGATTGGCTGGTGTGTGTCTCCTCTCGCTCTGCTCTTCTCTCTCTGCTCCTCGCTCTCTGCTCGTCTCTCTCGGCTGCTCTCTTTCTCTGCTCCTCTCTCTCTGCGCGTCTCTCTCAGCTGTTCACTCTCTGCTCCTCTCTCTGTTCTCCTCTCTGCCCGTCGCTCTTCCTGTCCGTCTGTCAACCGCTCTGTCAACCGCTCTGTCAACCGCTAACCTTTCTGTGCTGCACACTCACAACACGCACCCTCTGCTCTCTCCCTGCTCCTCTCTCTCCCTGCTCCTCTCTCTCTCTGCGCGTCTCTCCCTGCTCCTCTCTCTACTCACCTCTCTGTTCCTCTCTCTACTCACCTCTCTGCTCCTCTCTCTGCTCCTCTCTCTGTTCTCCTCTCTGCTCGTCGCTCTTCCTGTCCGTCTGTCAACCGCTCTGTCAACCGCTCTGTCAGCCGCTAACCTTTCTGTGCTGCACACTCACAACACGCACCCTCTGCTCTCTGCCCTCTCTACTCTCTCCAACGCCATTGTCCCTCCTTAATCCCCCACTTCCTCAAGGTATGTGTTCCTCTGTCTTTCTCAATTCCTTTTTGCTTCCACCAATTAATCGATCTATTAATCTCCTGTATGTACACAGTTTCTGTTCTTTCTCTATTCCATCCAAGTCCTTTCCAGGGCCCTGAGACAGAAGCTTTTGCGGCAGCTTCCCGCGACATTGACGATATCGAGTCTATCGCGATGATGACAGATGCTAACAATGCCGCAGAATTCGCGAGTGTGAGCCAAACCAATACGGGATTCCTGTTCTTCCTTCATTTCTCAACCAAACCGATCACAGGGCCCTCAGGCAGAGGCTTTCGCAGAAGCTTCCCGCGACATTGACGATATCGAGTTTATCGCGACGACAGACGCTAACATTGCTGCAGAGTTCAGGATTGTGAGCAAGGAGCGGCCGACAGTGGCAGTTATTAAGAAGGAAGATGAGAAGTTCGTGGCTCATGGTGAGACGACAAGATTGGGAGGGGAGAGGGGGGGCGTGTTGTTGGCGGCATGGTCACAGCAGAATTCAGGATTGTGAGCAAGGAGCGGCCGACAGTGGCGGTTATTAAGAAGGAAGATGAGAAGTTCGTGGCTCATGGTGAGACGACAAGATTGGGAGGGGAGAGGGGGGGGTGTTGTTGGCGGCATGGTCACAGCAGAATTCAGGATTGTGAGCAAGGAGCGGCCGACAGTGGCGGTTATTAAGAAGGAGGACGAGAAGTTTGTTGCTCATGGTGAGAGGGAGGGGTCTTGGTACCGACAGACAGACGGTCCCTCCACCAGCACTGCCATTGCTGCGCTTTGCTGACTTGCCGATGGTCTGGCCATTGCTGCGCTTGTAATGGAATGGCCAGCAAGCAGCCTCAGTCAACTTTTGAGGCGCCTCAAACCAGCAAGCAGCCTCAGTCAACTTTTGAGGCGCCTCAAACCAGCAAGCAGCCTCAGTCAACTTTTGAGGCGCCTCAAACCAGCAAGCAGCCTCAGTCAACTTTTGAGGCGCCTCAAACCAGCAAGCAGCCTCAGTCAACTTTTGAGGCGCCTCAAACCAGCAAGCAGCCTCAGTCAACTTTTGAGGCGCCTCAAACCAGCAAGCAGCCTCAGTCAACTTTTGAGGCGCCTCAAACCAGCAAGCAGCCTCAGTCAACCACACGCTGCTTCCTATCCCCCTATCCCCTTCTGTCTACCCTCTCTCTCCCTTCCCCTCCCCTCCCCCCCCCCCCCCCCCCCCCCCCCGGGCTTCCCTTCCCCTTCCTGTATCTTGCAGACGGTCCCTTCACCAGCAGTGCCATTGCCGCCTTTGTAACGGCGAACAAGCTGCCTCTGGTTACCACCTATGACGAGGAGAGCCAGTACACGATCTTTAACAGTGACATAAAGAAACAAGTGAGTTTTTTTCCTTAGATAGTAAGTTTACTTCAAAACGATTAGCACCTTCTCTCTGGTTACCACTTATGACGAGGACAGCCAGTACACCATATTCATCAGTGATATCAAGAAGCAAGTGAGTTTTCTTATAGTGATGTTTGTAACGACCAACAATTTACCCTATGACGAGGACAGCCAGTACACCATATTCAACAGTAATATCAAGAAACAAGTGAGTTTCTAGTCTACCATGATTTTTGTAACAGTTAATAGCGTTTCTGGTTACCATCTCTGATGAGGACAGGACAGCCAGTACACCATCTTCAACAGTCGTATCAAGAAAGAAGTGGGTTCCTTATGTTGGTGAATGTAACGGCCAGTAACTATCTCTGGTTACCAGCGCCTATGATATGTTCAGCCAGTATGGTGCTGCTTCTAAGTTCTGAGTACGCCCAGAGACCTACCCGCAAATTTATCTCCACAGGCGACTTTTGAGTCGACTCAAATGTCACCACGCTACTGCTTCTAAGTTCTGAGTACGCTCAGAGACCTACGCCCATGTTGCTCAATAGTCACCTCATGCTCATCTCCCCCCCTCCCCACCCCCCGCCTTCCGCCCCACCATCTCTCTTCCCCCTCCCCCTCCCCCTCCCCCTCTCCCCTTTCCCCCCTTCCCCCCGCCCTTTCCCTCCTCCCACCATCCATTCACCAGGTGCTGTTCCTGGCAACGAATGAGACCTACCCGCAGCACCTGCCAGCCAGGCTGCCAGTTTTGAGAATTCTCAAAAGTGATTTCAATACGAATGGGACCTACCTGCAGCACCTGCCTGCCAGTGACTCTTGAATCAGCGCCGGTCAGTCACCTCGTATGCGCATGTCCCCTCTGCCCGTCTCACCCCCCACACCACCACCTTTGTTCAACCAGGTGCTGCTTCTGGCAACGAATGGGACCTACCCGCAGCACCTGCCAGTGGTGAAGGAGGCTGCCATGCGGGTGAAAGGACTGGTGAGCGATTGGGGGGTTGAGAAAGAGGGAAGGGGGGTCTGGTCTGGTACCAGGGGGGAGAGGGGGAGGGAGGGAAGGGGCGGGGATGATGGGGACTCCTCCTTAAAGGGAGGGAGGGTTGGAACAAGGGTGGCAGGTTAGATCCGCCAGGTGCTGTTCCTAGCCACGCCACTGACAGACCTACCCGCAGCACCTGCCAGTGGTGAAAGAGGCTGCCAGGCGGGTTAAAGGACTGGTGAGCGAAAGGGTGGAAAGGGGAGGGAGAGGGAGGTGGTGGGGAGGAGGTGGGGAGAGGGGGGGTTGGGGAATGGGAGAAGGAAATGGGGAGGGGGGTTGGGGAATGGGAGAAGGGATGGGGAAGGGGATGATGGGGAGGGGATGATGGGGAGGGGATGATGGGGACATAGAACTGATTCTGACAGGGAGGGTTGGAAGTAGGGTGGCAGAAATGAATTCACCAGGTGTTGTTTCTAGCGACGAATGAGACCTACCCGCAGCACCTGCCAGTGGTGAAAGAGGCTGCAGGTCAGGTGAAAGGACTGGTGAGCAGTTGGTTGCTGTTTGGGACAGATGGGGAATCTTCACTCGAATAATTGAGGTCTCAAGAGGGCCTAACCTAACGGATGGAGTTCCCTTATTGTACTTGTCGCATCCGTTAGGGTGCGAATGGGTGGTTGCATCTTTCTTTGTCTTCCCCCTTGTTCTCCGCTGCGACCACCCATTCCCATTCACCGGGCTCTCTTTGTGTATATCAACAGCGACCTACCAGACTCAGAGCATGCTCTCGAGTACGTGATGTCTCAAGAGGGCCTAACGGATGGTGTTCCCGTATCGTAATTCTTGCACCCTCCTTTGTCTCCCCTCTTCTTCTCCCTCCCGGCCACCCATTCACCAGGCTCTCTTTGTGTATATCAACAGCGACCTACCAGACTCAGAGCATGCTCTCGAATAATTTGGCATTCCCTTGCCATACGTCCCTTGTTTGTCTTTCCCTCTTGATTCTTCCCTCACCACTCTCCCCATCCGCCAGGCCCTCTTTGTCTACATCAACAGCGACCTCCCGGAATCAGAACACGCTCTGGAGTACTTTGGCTTCAGGCACGGCGATACTGCGGTAAGCATGGGTTCGGTGCGGTGGTGTGGGTTCAAAGTGGTGAGCGTGGGCTTATTGTGGTGATTCTGGTCTTAATACAGTGAGCATGGGTTCAATGCGGTGATTGCAGTGCCATTTCCAAGAACTTGCCTCTCCATCCCTCTGCTCTGCCCACTCCCGCTCCTCTATCATTCCCTCCTCACATCATGGGCGTGGTGTCCAATGAGACAGATAAGGTCAAGTTCGAGTTCAACGGGCACTGCGCTCCCTCTACCTACCTATGCTTCTTTCTGCCTCCCATCTACTTCTACCTACCTCTACTTCAGCTCAAGAGGCTCTTTGCTCTGCTTCTACCTACCTCTCCTTAAGCTCAAGAGGCTCTTCGCTCTGCTTCTACCTACCTCTACTTACCTCCTTCTGCCTCCCATTTCCCTTAGCCTGCCTGCCTCCCTCCTCACATCATGGGCATGGTGTCCAATGAGACGGATAAGGTCAACTCAAGTGCCACATGCACGCGCGCTCGCACGCATGCACACACACACACACACACACACACACACACACACACACACACACACACACACACACACACACACACACACACACACACACACACACACACACACAAACACACACACACGCGCACAACACCAATCCCTGCCTTCTCCCCTCCCCCCCTGACTTTAGATCATGGGCATGGTATCCAATGAGACGGACGAGGTCAAATTCAAGTTCAACGGGCAGATCACCACCGATGACATCGAGGTAAGATTTCTCTTAGAAATCTCAGAAGCGAGATTTTTTATCATAATAATAATTGTAATATTAATAGTAATAATATTAGTGATAATAGTAATAATAGTAATTGTAATAATAGTAATAATAGTAGTAACAATAATACTAGTAATACTAATAATAATAATAAAAGAGTTCAACAGAAGTTGAGAACAGATGACATCGAGGTGAGAGAACGATCCCAACTACTGCTGCTCCATTCTTGAGGAGTCTCAAGAGGCTTCAAACAAGACGGCGGTGCTAAATGCCCTCCAGAGGGAAGGTCAGTCACCACTGATGGTATTGTGGTGTGAGAGTGCTTTGCTTGGACTAACCACGTGAAAGAAGTTATTTTTTTAGACGTCTCAAACATTCAATTCCTTCACGTGGCTAAACAAGACGGCGGTGCCAAAGGCCCTCAAGAGGGCAGGTCACCACTGATGGTATTGTGGTGTGAATCTGTGAGTGATTTTTTACCACTAACATCAGAGCCTGTATGCTTGTGCATAGAGGAATATCTTACCTCCTTGACTGTTCTACTTGACTGTTCTACTTGACTCGCTCTGCCTACCGTTGCTTACTTGTGCCTACCGCAGCATGCCTCTCTCTGCCTGCCCTTGTTTCTACTGCTTACCCCTTCATCTCTCTCTACACACGCACCCTCAACAACCCCACTGTCCGATTTCCCATGTCAATCTCTCCTTGAAACGCATTTAAGTATCTTCCTTCGAGAAAGCTCTTGGGGTGGATGTTTACGTGAACACTGCTTGTTTTCCCCTTCCCTTCCCACCCCATCCCAAACAGGCACCACCAACCAATTCATCAGGCTTCATTCATCAGGCCTTTGCTGCGAGCCTCCCGCTGATGCACTGGAGCCATTGTTTTGTGTCCCGCACCCTCTTAAATGCATGCCAACTCCCTTGTTATCTTTCTAAATCACTTATTTCTTTCTCCACTCTCACCGCCTTCTCAAACATGCACCACCACAGGCCTTTGCTCGTGAGCTTGCTGCCGACCGTCTGGAGCCTTATTACCTCTCCGAGCCCATCCCTGAGAAGGTGAGGAAAGGTCTTCTCGGTTCCACCAACATCCCAAATATGCACCACTGCCAGCCAGCCAGCCAACCCATCAGGCCTCTGCCTCTTCTGCTTCCATCACCCACATTCCATGATCCGTCCCTCTCCCACCCGCCCCACTTCATTACGCGCAGAACGACGGTGCAGTGCTGACGGGATGGTGGTGTTTAGGAATTTCGAATTCCCTGCCTTGATGTTCCGTTCTCCTTACACATCTCTCATCTTGTTCACCCTCCCTGCAATCCTCGTTCCCGCCTGCCTCCCACAACATTACGTGCAGAACGATGGTCCAGTGCTGACGGTGGTGGGGAAGAATTTCAAGGACATTGTAATGGACAGGAGCAAGGATGTGCTACTCAAGGTAATTTTTCACTGCAAACTCGCTCATGCAAGCACCCTGTATGTCTAAATACGTTTTGCGTGACTGTAGGAGAAAACAATTCGCTGCAGGAGAAAACAATTCGCTGCACGAGAAAACAATTCGCTGATTCAAGGACATGGTAATCGACAGGAGGACCAAGGACGTGGTAATCGACAGGAGGACCACGGACGTGGTAATCGACAGGAGGACCACGGACGTGGTAATCGACAGGAGGACCACGGACGTGGTAATCGACAGGAGGACCACGGACGTGGTAATCGACAGGAGGACCACGGACGTGGTAATCGACAGGAGGACCACGGACGTGGTAATCGACAGGAGGACCACGGACGTGGTAATCGACAGGAGGACCACGGACGTGGTAATCGACAGGAGGACCACGGACGTGGTAATCGACAGGAGGACCACGGACGTGGTAATCGACAGGAGGACCACGGACGTGGTAATCGACAGGAGGACCACGGACGTGGTAATCGACAGGAGGACCACGGACGTGGTAATCGACAGGAGGACCACGGACGTGGTAATCGACAGGAGGACCACGGACGTGGTAATCGACAGGAGGACCACGGACGTGGTAATCGACAGGAGGACCACGGACGTGGTAATCGACAGGAGGACCACGGACGTGGTAATCGACAGGAGGACCACGGACGTGGTAATCGACAGGAGGACCACGGACGTGGTAATCGACAGGAGGACCACGGACGTGGTAATCGACAGGAGGACCACGGACGTGGTAATCGACAGGAGGACCACGGACGTGGTAATCGACAGGAGGACCACGGACGTGGTAATCGACAGGAGGACCACGGACGTGGTAATCGACAGGAGGACCACGGACGTGGTAATCGACAGGAGGACCACGGACGTGGTAATCGACAGGAGGACCACGGACGTGGTAATCGACAGGAGGACCACGGACGTGGTAATCGACAGGAGGACCACGGACGTGGTAATCGACAAGAGGACCACGGACGTGGTAATCGACAGGAGGACCACGGACGTGGTAATCGACAGGAGGACCACGGACGTGGTAATCGACAGGAGGACCACGGACGTGGTAATCGACAGGAGGACCACGGACGTGGTAATCGACAGGAGGACCACGGACGTGGTAATCGACAGGAGGACCACGGACGTGGTAATCGACAGGAGGACCACGGACGTGGTAATCGACAGGAGGACCACGGACGTGGTAATCGACAGGAGGACCACGGACGTGGTAATCGACAGGAGGACCACGGACGTGGTAATCGACAGGAGGACCACGGACGTGGTAATCGACAGGAGGACCACGGACGTGGTAATCGATAGGAGGACCACGGACGTGGTAATCGACAGGAGGACCACGGACGTGGTAATCGACAGGAGGACCACGGACGTGGTAATCGACAGGAGGACCACGGACGTGGTAATCGACAGGAGGACCACGGACGTGGTAATCGACAGGAGGACCACGGACGTGGTAATCGACAGGAGGACCACGGAGGTGGTAATCGACAGGAGGACCACGGACGTGGTAATCGACAGGAGGACCACGGACGTGGTAATCGACAGGAGGACCACGGACGTGGTAATCGACAGGAGGACCACGGACGTGGTAATCGACAGGAGGACCACGGACGTGGTAATCGACAGGAGGACCACGGACGTGGTAATCGACAGGAGGACCACGGACGTGGTAATCGACAGGAGGACCACGGACGTGGTAATCGACAGGAGGACCACGGACGTGGTAATCGACAGGAGGACCACGGAGGTGGTAATCGACAGGAGGACCACGGACGTGGTAATCGACAGGAGGACCACGGACGTGGTAATCGACAGGAGGACCACGGACGTGGTAATCGACAGGAGGACCACGGAGGTGGTAATCGACAGGAGGACCACGGACGTGGTAATCGACAGGAGGACCACGGACATGCTGCTCAAGGTATCTATCGCCCACGTGAACTCTGCTTATCGCCCACGTGAACTCTGCTTATCGCCCACGTGAACTCTGCTTATCACCCATGTGAACTCTGCTTATCCCTCTTTGCTGTGCCGTGGCTGGCCTTTGCCCGCATAAACGCCGAGTCCCTCAGGTGACTCAGAACCCACTTCAACTCCCTTCCACACCGCACCACCACCACTACCCTCCAGGTTGATGTGGATCACTGTCAGGACTGCACGGATCTCGACCCCACCTTCAAGCCCAACACAACTCCCCCCTCCCCTCACATCCTCATATAGACGTGGATCACTGTGACGACTGCACGGACCTCCACCCCGCCTTCAAGAAGCTCGTGTCTGAACTCAAGTCCCCTAGGCGTCTCAAGCCCTCTTCAACTCACTTTCACCACACACGCCCCTCCCTCTCCTCACCCCTGCAGATCGACGTGGATCACTGTGACGACTGCACGGACCTCCACCCTGCCTTCAAGAAGCTCGTGTCTGAACTCAAGTCCCCTAGGCGTCTCAAGCCCTCCTCAACTCACTTTCACCACACACGCCCCTCCCTCTCCTCACCCCTGCAGATCGACGTGGATCACTGTGACGACTGCACAGACCTCCACCCCACCATCAAGAATCTCGCCATCGAGTTCTCGGACATGCCTTGCCTTCACCTCTAAGAAGCTCGCGCTCAAGTTCCATCACGCACCCTCACTGGCCTTTGCATGCATGAACACGGGCTCCCTCTGGTGACTGACTCACAGCCCTCTTTCTCCAACTCCCTTCCCTCCCCCCCTCTTTCTGAAGATCGACGTGGATCACTGTGACGACTGCACAGACCTCGATCCCACCGTTAAGAAGCTCGCTATCAAGTTCCTTGACGTGCCCTCACGCCCCACACGCCCCTCCTCCTCTGCCCTCCGCAGATCGACGTGGATCACTGTGACGAATGCACCGACCTCGATGCCATTTTTAAGAAGCTCGCCTTGTTGTTCTCTGATGTGCCCTCGCTCGTCTTTGCACGCATGAGCATGGGCTCCCTCTGGTGACTCACAGCCCTCTTTCTCCAACTCCCTTCCTCCCACCCCGCTTCCCCTACAGATTGACGTGGATCACTGTGACGACTGCACCGATCTTGACCCCACCTTCAAGAAGCTTGCCATCAAGTTCTCGGGTGCGCCCTCGCTCGTCTTTGCGCGGATGAACGCGCGCAACAACGAGTACCCGGGCCTGGAGGTGAGTGGCTGATTCACTCAACGAGTAGGTGGGATTGAGTGTGTGTGAGTGCCATGTGCTGCATTCCCTTCTCCCAAGCTCACCACCTGTGTGCCTTCGCTTTCCTTTGCTCGCATGAACGCACGCTACAACAAATACCCGGGCCTGGATGTGAGTAACTTACTGGCCATGCTGGTTACTGAACAATCACCAGACTGGTTAACAGCTAGGAATTTACAACCAACAGTACATTGAGTTTTTTTTCTTCCCAGCACTGCCCGTAGGTTTCACACTTCGGTGTCTTTTCACGTTCTTGTGGTGTTTTTTTCACGTTCTTGTGTTCTTCCCACCCATTACCCGCCCTGGCAGCACCTTCCCAGCCCACCCATCCACTAACCACCCTCCCCGAACACTACTCCCCCCCCATCTCCCAACCGCTAGGTGTCGGCCTTCCCCACGCTGCTGCTCTACCCCGCCAATCGAAAGTCTGACCCGGTATGTCCTTACAGTATCGATTCACATACAGAAAATACACTGCAGACACACAGCACATACAGCACAGAGAGCAGATACAGAACATACAGCACTTAAAGCATGACTCACCCACCAGGTGTCGGCCTTCCCCACGCTGCCGCTCTACCCCGCCAATCAAAAGTCTGATCCGGTACGTCCATACAGCTCAATTCACATGAAGCACATACACACCTCTGTTTGTTCCATTGGGGTTGACCCTTTCATTGTGCAGATCGACACTCACCACACTCGCCTCGGCCCGTTGACCGATTTTGTGGCAAAGGGGTGTTAGAAAGCCTTTCTTAATCCTTCTATGCCTGTCTCAACTCATGTTTGTGGTGTGACTGTGCTGCAGATCGACACTCACCACACTCGCCTCGGCCCGTTGACCGACTTTGTTGTGCGGAACTCTGCCATTCCAGTTAAGATGCCTTCTGACATGCCATCTCAGAGGCCGTCCCAGCGCTCCAGGTCCAAGGAGGAGGCGGAAGAGGAGAAGGAGCTTCGCCGTGATCTTGAGGAGGCAAAGGCGCCGAAAAAAGGGTCTCATGATGAGCTTTGACTCTGGTCATCGCCTCGCCACTTATTTGAATGAATGCTCCGAGGCAGCAAAATCGATAGAGCTCGGATTTGCATTGGTTTCTGTGCTCCCGGGGTGCATGGTACTGTGTACACTGCATGAGTTAACCCGTCAGGAAGCTGACCGATCTATCAGAAAGGAGAGAAAATGCTTATCCTTAAGTTTTGGCTTTTGTTGCGGTTATGGTCTCATCATACATCGTATTTTTTCCTTATACATACCGAGTGGGCTTGTGGTGGTTCAAGGAGTGTCGGCATAGCGGGAATTTCTCAAACCAAAGACGCGCCAAAAGCACCCATGCCTGACTGACAAACGGAGCGGCCAGCGGAGCGAAGCGTTACTGATGGGCCCAATTGGGTCCAGACCGAACCTCCTCACAAGGCAGCGACACGGAAACTAAACGAGAGCCGAACCCCCTCACCTTGCTTAGTTTTGAACTGCTAGAAGCCACGATTTCGGAGCTGCCCTTCAAATGTCTTACCTCACTGAAGGTCACGCAATCTCGCCAACGATTGGTTCTTCGTGCTTCTGGATACTCTCTCCGTGCCGAACGTTGCCCGAAAAACTTCTGAAGGTAATTTTCTGCTGGGTTTCCTATCCGTCAAACCCACAAAAACGGTTCTCGGTTCGGACAGACTTAGGTTTTCCACAAGGCTGTAGTTTGTGTTCAGAATGTGGAGACAGCTTTGACTTCATTTTTCAAGGAGCAGGCTGTAGTTAGTTTCCTCGCAAATTGCGATCTGCGGAGGTGGTGGATACGTGTTTTGCTGTGTGGACTTTGTTCGAGTTACGAAGCTAGCGTCGTCTCAGACCTTTCGTGAAGACTCTTGTTTAAATGTGCGGGAACGCCATTGTAACACCATTGCATACTACGACTGTTGCTCTAACACCGTACCCCCGGAGACCTAGGTAGTCTTAATTTGTGTTATTTTTTTACCCGGGATTATTGTTTGTAGAAGCGATTTCGTAAGGAATCTCGGTGCAAATGGCAGTAGGGTACAAAGGAAAGCCGTTGTTTAGAGGCTCAGCTAAGAGCCACTCGAGTCGCGGAAAATTATTAGTACCCGCGACGGTCGCGCTGCTAGCAGCGGTCGGCGTGCTACACTACTACTCTTACCTTAAGGGCCACCATGCTACTAACGAGTTCGCCAATATCGAAGGTGTCATACGACGGGAGCTAGTGGACCAGCGATCGGATCCCGAATGCCACGTCGACCCTAGTCCTGCCACGTGTCAGCACATCGACCTCGTCGCGTTTGCCACGGTCAGTGGACCTTCCTTGGCTGATTCTCGCAGCAAGCTCGTTAGCGCCAATCCAAAACAGCTTCACGTACAAATATTGCCATCCCCAAGGTCGTATCACGACATGCTTGCTCGGGGTAGAGTGCCTAATTCCTGAATTTCTGCGTCGCGCTTCTATGCCACTGGACTCTGTCGTGAGAGATTTCTGACAATTGTGAGAATTGTCGACATTCAAAGAGGCAGCGAGAGATTTTTGAGAATAATAATAGGTAATGTGGTATACATTACCCAAAAGGGATCTGTTCTCTTCGTGTCCTTTGTTTGCCTCGAGCCCATCATCTTTCCTCCCTCCTTCTCTTCTCTCCATTTCTCTCCACCTCCCCTCCTTGGTTTTTCTCCCCTCTCGCTCACCCTCCTTTCCTCCTCTCACCACTCCCACTTCCCCCTCCTCTTTCTCGTTTCCTTCGCGCACCCTTCTCCCTTTTCCCACCTTTTCCTCCTCCCCCAGCGCCTGGCGACTGTGTGTGTGGCGCACGTCGTAGCAGCAGTGCACCAGCTGACCGTGCGAGTGCTCTTGCCCACCAACCAACGGTTTCCTCGCGGCTTCCTTCCCCCTCTTTCCCTCCTTCTCCCCTTGCTTCCCTCCTCTTTCATCTCTCAGGGTCCCATACCCCAGCGCCTGGAGACTGTGTGTGTGGAGCACGCGGTAGCAGCAGTGCACCAGCTCACCGTGCTAGTGCTCTGGCTCACCAACGGTTCCTATTTCCCTCCTTCCTTCTCTTCCCCTCCTTCTCCCTCATCCCGCAGGGTCCCATACCCCAGCGCCTGGAGACGGTGTGTTTGGCGCACGCGGTAGCAGCAGTGCACCAGCTCACCGTGCGAGTGCTCTGGCTCACAGATGAGCCACCAGCAAGCCAACAACAGCCGCAGCAGCAGCAGCAGCAGAGGCAGAGGGCAGGCATGCCATACGTGCCGTTCTCAGCCCTGTTTGAGCCGGCGCTGACGGTGGTGGAGACGAATCTCTCTGCTGCTGACGCCACCAGGAGGTTTATCCACGAGCTCTTCACTCCCAAGGCGGTGAGTGCAGTGCGGTGTAGTGCGGTGCGGTGCAGTGCGGTGAGTGGGAGCATAAGGCGGGCCATTCTCGGCCCTGTTTGAACCGGCGCTGACGGTGGTGGAAACGAATCTCTCCGCTGCTGATGCCACCAGGCAGTTCATTCACGAGCTCTTCACGCCCAAAGCGGTGAGTGCAGTGCGGTGTAGTGTGGTGCGGTGTAGTGCAGTGTGGTGTGATGCAGTGTAGTTCAGTGAGTGGGAGTGATGGGCATGCCAGCAACAGCAGTCCGCTGCTGATGCCACACGGTTCATCCACGAGCTTCACTCCCAAGGCGGTGAGTGCAGTGTGGTGTAGTGCGGTGTAGTGCCGTGCGGTGTAGTGCGGTGTAGTGTGGTGTTGTGCAGTGCGGTGAGTACAGTGCGGTGCATGTAGTGGGAGTGAGGGTCATGCCAGCAGCAACAGGCTGCTGATGCCACCAGGCGGTTCATCCACGAGCTCTTCACTCCCAAGGCGGTAAGTGCAGTGCGGTGCAGTGCAGTGCGGTGTAGTGCGGTGTAGTGTGGTGTAGTGTGGTGAGTGGGAGCACAAGGCGGGCTGTTCTCGTCCCGGCCTTGTTTGAGCCGGCGCTGACGGTGGTGGAGACGAATCTCTCCGCTGCTGATGCCACGCGGCAGTTCATTCACGAGCTCTTCGCGCCCAAGGCGGTGAGTGCAGGGCAGGGCGTGGGATGGAATGGGGTGGGAGGGCTGGGGTGGGGTGAGTGAGAGCACATGGCAGCATAGGGCGGGAGGTTCATCCACGAGGATAAGATGGAATGCGATGAGTGCAGGTCAGGGCAGTGGAGAGCTCGGGATGAGTGAGAGCGATGTGTATGCCACACGACCAAGGCGGTGAGAGCAAGGAAGGGCATGGTAGAGCATGGGATGAGTGGGAGCACATGGGCATTCCCACCAAAGTGGTGAGTGCAGTGCGCTGCATGGCAGAGCAGCGGATGTGATGAGTGAGAATGATGGGCATGTCACACGCTCAAGGTGTTTTATAGATTGCCTTCAGCGTAGATTCTTGTATGGATAATTTCATTCGATCGTTGGTGGTGCGCCACAGTTGTCTACTCTTGCAGTGAGTGCATGGCAGAGCACTGGATGGGTGGAGTTGCAACCTGTTTTCATTCCCTTTCCTGCTCCTTCCTTCCCTTCTTACCCCCTCACAGCACCAGTATGACCTGTGCTTCCGATTCACTTGGGTGCGAATCCAACGAGCATCAGAGTGTATCATAAGTCCTTCCATCTCCCTTTTCCCCTCTCTCCATTTCCCTCCCTTCCCTTCCCTTTCTTTCCCCCCCTTTCCCTTTCTTTCGCTCCCCTTCCCCTCTGTCCCCTCCCCTCGCAGCACCAGTACGGCCCATGCTTCCAAGACACGTGGGAGCGAATCCAACGAGCATCCGATGGTTCGCTGCTTCCCTCACGCTCTTCTCTCTATCTTGCTTCGCTCCTTACACCCTTTGCTTCTCCCCCTCCTGCATTCTTTCCCCCTCGCAGCACGACTACGCCCGTGCTTCCGAGACACGTGGGAGCGAATCCAGCAAGCATCAGTATGCTCTGTACAGCCTTGACCCTCATCCCCCCCCTTCCCCCCTACCTTCCCTCCCCCTCCCACGCTATCCTCCCTGCCCCTCCTCACAGCACCAGTACGGCCCGTGCTTCCGAGACACGTGGGAGCACATTCAAAGAGCATCAGTGTGTAAAATGCCTTCTCTCGATTCCCTTCCCTTTCTTCCCTTCCCGTCTTCTCCCCTCAGCACCAATACGGCCCGTGCTTCCGAGACACGTGGGAGCGCATCCAGCGAGCATCAATGTGTATTGTGAGACTGTGACCCTTACTGCTCTTTCTTCCCTTCCATCCCTTTCCCCCACTCTCCCCCCTCGCAGCAACAATACGGCCCGTCTCTTTGAGACACGTGGGAGCGCATTCGGCGAGCATCCGTGTGTATCGTGAGACCTTGACCGTCATCCCCCCTTCTTCCCCTTTTACCCCTCCCCATCCCTCTCTATCCTCTGTTCCCTCGCAGCACCAATACGGCCCGTGCTTCCGAGACACGTGGGAGCGCATTTGGCGAGCATCAGCACGCAATAACGCCTTCCCCCGCTCCTCCTCTGCTGACGCTGACTCAGACTCGGACTCTGCTGACTCGGATTCCGACTCGGCTGACTCGGATCCAGACTCTGCTGACTTAGACGGAGCCTCGGATGCAGGGGGGTTGGGGGGGGCCGGCGGCGCACGCGGTAAAGGTACCGAGGAGGCTTATAGCGAGGATGAGCCGGTGCCGGTGTCTATGTGGACGGGTGAGCTGGACAGCCAGGAGGTGGCGGGGCGGCCCTTGGGATTGCCGCGGAAGCTGACTCTGCATGGGTGGTTCCGCACTGATTCCGTGCAGCGCAGTAGTGTGGTGAGTGGTTGAGAGGGATAGGCAGAGGTGCAGTGGGACTGAGTGTTGGGAATAAACCTCACAGGGGAAGTGGTGTGGTGAGTGGTTGAGAGGGATAGGCAGAGATGCAGTGACTGTGAGCTGCTGAGCTGGACAGCCATGAGGAGGCTTATAGCGAGGATGAACCAGTCCCGGTTTCGATGTGGACGGGTGAGCTGGACAGTGAGGAGGTGGCGGGGCGGCCCTTGGGATTGCCGCGGAAGCTTACTCTGCATGGCTGGTTCCGCACTGATTCCGTGCAGCGCAGTAGTGTGGTGAGTGGTTGAGAGGGATAGGCAGAGATGCAGTGGTATTGGGTGGGCGAGCTGGGCAGTCTGGAGGTGGCGGGGCGGCCCTTGGGATTGCCGAGGAATCTCACTCTGCTCGGGTGGTTCCGGACAGATTCCGTTCAACGCAGCAGTGTGGTCAGTGGGTGACGGGGTGAGGAGTGTATAGCTGTTACAGGCAGCTGCCGGCAGTTACAAGCTGATAACCCAATAGCCCTTGGGACTGCCGACCGAGGAAGCTGACTCTGCATGGCTGGTTCCGGACGGATTCCGTTCAACGCAGCAGTGTGGTGAGTGGTGGTTGAGAGGGATAGGCAGAGGTGCAGTGGTATTGGGTGGGTGAGCTGGACAGTTGGGAGGTGGTGGGGCGGCCCTTGGGATTGCCGCTGAAGCTGACTCTGCATGGGTGGTTCCAGTCTAATTCCCTGCAGCGTAGCTCCGTGGTGAGTGGGTAGCTCTCGCATGCTGATACAGGCAAATACAGGCTGCTTCAAGCTGATAGCGTAATAGCCCTTGGGATTGCCGAGGAAGCTGACTCTGCATGGGTGGTTCCGCACTGATTCCCTGCAGCGCATTAGCGTGGTGAGTGGTTGAGAGGGATAGGACTGATTCCCTGCAACTCAGCAATGTGGTGAGTAGTGGTTGAGAGGGATTCGACTAATTCTCTGCAGAGCGCAGCAGTGTGGTGAGTGCCTAGGAGGAGTGGGGGCGAGTGTGGGATTATGGCCACGCGTGCACTCTGCCATCTGCCCTTGCTGTTGCGTTGGCACAATAAAGGGCAGGCTGCAAGTGTCCCCTTGCCTTGCCTGTGTTCCTTGCTCCTGTCTCCCTGTGACAAAACGATTGACAGGAGGAGCGAGTGTGGGGTGGCTGCTGTGGGCGCGAGTGCACTCTGCTTTCTGTCGCTTGCTGTTGCGTTGGCACAACAAGCCGCTTGCCTTGCTTATCTCTGCTTCTCCTCTGCTTCTGCTCTTGCTCCTTCTCCCACTTCTGCCTCTGTCACCACCATCAACAGGAGGACTGGCAGGAGGAGCGCGTGGGATGTCTGGTGTGGGCGCACGTGCAAAGGTGCTACGAGCGGCTGCAGCCCTTCCCTGCTGTGGCTGCGATGGTGCGAGAGGAGGGGGTGAACAGCACACGAGTGGAGGGCAGCATTGGCGTTTATCTTGATGTGAGTCATTGCATGGTGTGGTCACCTGGTAGGTCGGTATCTCTGCTGCTGCCATGCTGCTGGTGGCCCTCCCCTGCTGTGGCGGCGATGGTGCGAGAGGGGGGGGGTCAACAGCACACGCGTGGAGGGCAGCATTGGCGTGTACCTGGATGTGAGTCACTGCATGGTGTGTTGTGGTGCGTTAGGCTGCTGCAGCCCTCAACAGCACACGAGGGGAGAGCAGCATTGGCGTGTACCTGAATGTGTCATTGCACGGTGCAGTGTTCTGTTCCGTTCCGGTACTATGCACTTGGTAGGCATCGCTGCTGCCAGGCTGCTGCACCCTTCATCTGCCGTGGCTGCGATGGTGCGAGTGGGGGAGTTGAACAGCACACGAGTGGAGGGCAGCATTGGCGTGTACCTGGATGTGAGTCACTGCACAGAATCACCTGGTAGGTATCTCTACGAGTTACAAATGCCAGGGTGCTGCACCCTTCACCTGCTGTGGCGACGATGGTGCGAGAGGAGGGGGTCAACAGCACACGCGTGGAGAGCAGCATTGGCGTATACCTGGATGTGAGTCATTGCATCGCACCTGCACCTGGATGTGAGTGGGTGGGAGCACCGCACTGCACCGCACTGAATGCACAGTACTCAAGTGATCGTACCCACTTGGTAGGTCAGTTTCTCTGTTGCTGCCAGGCTGCACCTCTCAAATGGATGTGAGTGGGTGGGAGCACCGCACTGCACTGCACTGCACTGCACTGCACTGCACTGAATGCACAGTACTCAAGTGGTCGTACCCGCCTGGTAGGTCAGTTTCTATGGCACCAGAGGCACCTGCCCCGGCTGCCCCACCCCTCTCAATCCTGCCCACTCTGCAACCTCGTTTCTCCCCCCCTCCCTGCTTTCAAACCCGCCTCCTTCCCCTTCCCCTTGCCTCCCTCCCTCATACCACACACCACACAGACCTCCAGGCCACTGAGTTGATTTTTGTCTCGACTCAAAAGCCTCCTTCCCCTTGCCACCCCCCCTCGTACCACACACACCTGCAGGCCACCCCCCAAGGCACCTGCCCTGGCTGCCCTTCCTCTCTCAATCCTTCCCATCCCACTGTGCCGCGCGAAACCTCGCCCTCACCATGCCCCACCGTGCTCTCTTTCTTCCTTCGATTCACCTCACCTTTTTTTTGTTTTTTTCTTTTCTTTCCTTTCCCCACCCTCTTCCTCCCCAAACACAAACAGGCCACCCCCCGAGGCACCTGCCCCGGCTGCCCCTCCTCCCTGAATCCTGCCGACTGTGCCGCCCGCACTCTCGCCCTGACCATGCTCCACCGCCCGTCGATCGACTTCACGCTCGGCTCCGCCGCCCAGTCGCACCCGGCGCACATCGTCTCTTTCTTTGATGCCGACCGCGCGCCGTACGTGTCGCCGTCTGCCGCGTTCCGGGCGGCAAACTGCGGAGAGAAGCTGGTGCAGGCGATGGGGGAGAAGGGCGAGGGGGCGGCTGAGAGGCTTGCAGAATTGGTGCTAACATGCAAGCAACGAGAGGTGAGAGCAGTTGGCTCTTGACACCTTGCCTCCTTTCTCTTCCCCCCTCTCTCTCACTCCTTTTGTTCAACTGGCAAACTGTGGGGAGGCTGGGGCAGATGATGGGGGATGAGGGGGAGGGGGCGGCTGAGAGGCTGGCGGAATTGGTGGTGACTTGCAAGCAGCGAGAGGTGAGATATTTGTTTATCCCCAAGCCCCTGCCCAAGGCCCTCCTTCCCTTCCTTTCTTCCTCCGTTTCCTGAGCGGCAAACTGCGGAGAGAAGCTGGTGCGGGCGATGGGGGAGAAGGGGGAGGGGGGAGCAGAGAGGCTGGCGGAATTGGTGCTGACTTGCAAGCAACGAGAGGTGAGAAGAACATACTATATGTCCGCGCCCTCCATTCTCATCTGCCTTCCAGCTCTGCTTGCTCAAGCCCCATTGCTGACAACGAGGGCTTTTGAGGCGCCTCAAATATCGTACCTCAAATAGACGCTTCTGAGGTACCTTGTGCCTCTAGCTGGCAAATTCCATAAGCATCCTCCGCATTCCCATCTGCCCTCGAGCCGACAAGCTGTGATGGAGACAAGGTACGAAGAAGGAGGCAAGGTACGAAGAAGGAGGCAAGGTATGAAGAAGGAGGCAAGGTATGAAGAAGGAGGCAAGGTATGAAGAAGGAGGCAAGGTATGAAGAAGGAGACAAGGTACGAAGAAGGAGGCAAAATACGAAGGAGAAGGCAAGCACGCTCATAGACTTTGTTGCAGCGAGGCCATGATGCCACCTTCTTCTGTCTTCCCCTCGTGCCTCCGTCTTGCTTCACCCACCCATTCACGCGCAAACCACCGGGCTGGTGGTGATGGAGCCAAGCACGCTCTCAGACTTCATCGCAGCCAGGGCCATGCACTACCTTTGTTGCAGCGAGGCCATGATGCCACCTGCTTCTGTCTTCCCCTCGTGCCTCCGTCTTGCTTCACCCACTCATGCAGGTGGCTGATCTCTTTCTGCTCGCGCAAACCACCGGGCTGGTGGTGATGGAGCCAAGCACGCTCTCAGACTTCCTTGCAGCGAAGGGCATGACGCCATCTGCTGCCCTCCTGTTCTCTTGCCTACCTGCTGTCTCCCCTGCTGTTCCCGTCTTGCTTCTCCGACCCCTGTATCCACCTCTAGGTGGCGGATCTCTTCCTCCTCGCGCAAACAACCGGGCTGGTGGTGATGGAGCCAAGCACGCTCTCCGACTTCATCGCAGCGAGGGAGAGGCGATGCCTGCTGCCCTCCTTCCGTCGTGCCCACCTGCTGCCTCTCTCTTGTTCCCGTCTTGCGTCTCCCACCATGGCAGGTGGCGGATCTCTTCCTCCTCGCGCAAACCACAGGCCTCGTGGTGATGGAGCCAAGCACGCTCTCAGACTTCATCGCAGCGAGGGGGAGGCACCGCCTGCCGTCCTTCCGCCTCTTCACGCCGCTGTGCCTGGCTGAGCGCGCCTGGCCCATGACTGTTCAGCCATTCGCCTACTTCTTTGCTGTGGAACGTGAGTTTTGATATGAACATATGAACATATGAATGCATCATACATGTGCGCATGGTTGCATCCCCTTCACGCCTCTGTGCCTAATGGAGCGAGCCTGGCCCATGACTGTTCATCCCTCGTTACCCCTTGTCACCCTTTGTTACCCCTTGTTACCCCTTGTCACCCTTTGTTACCCCTTGTTCCTCCTCCCTTCTCCCATCTCTCCCTGGGAATCGCCTACTGCAGCATGCCCAAGGTGACCTGCACGGGATGGAAGATGTGGCAGCGAGCCATGTTCAACCTGCCCAACTCTCTACTTAACCCCTTGTCACCCCTCGTCACCCCTTGTCACCCCTCGTCACCCCTTGTCACCCCTTGTCACCCCTTGTCACCCCTTGTTACCTCTTCCCCCACCAGCTTCTTTAGGGATCGCCTACTGCAGCATACCAAAGGTGACCTGCACGGGATGGAAGATGTGGCAGCGAGCCAACTCGGCCTGCCCAACCCTCTCTGTACCCCCTTGTCATCCCTTGTTACCCCTTGTCACCCCTTGTTACCCCTTGTTACTCCTTGTTCCTGATTTCTTCGTCCGTGCCCCACCAGCGTCCCTAGGCATAGCCTACTGCAGCATGCCCAAGGTCTCCTGCACGGGATGGAAGATGTGGCTTCGCGCCATGCTCGGCCTGCCCCACCTCTCCTTACCCCTTGTTACCCCTCGTCACCCCTTGTTATACCCCCCCAATACCCCCACCAGCTTCTCTAGGCATAGCCTACTGCAGCATGCCCAAGGTGGCCTGCACGGGGTGGAAGATGTGGCTGCGAGCCATGCTCAACCCTTGGGACCGTGTGCACACAGTCCATCCCTTGGGACCGTGTGCACACAGTCCATCCCTTGGGACCGTGTGCACACAGTCCATCCCTTGGGACCGTGTGCACACAGTCCATCCCTTGGGACCGTGTGCACACAGTCCATCCCTTGGGACCGTGTGCACACAGTCCATCCCTTGGGACCGTGTGCACACAGTCCATCCCTTGGACCGTGTGCACACAGTCCATCCCTTGGGACCGTGTGCACACAGTCCATCCCTTGGGACCGTGTGCACACAGTCCATCCCTTGGGACCGTGTGCACACAGTCCATCCCTTGGGACCGTGTGCACACAGTCCATCCCTTGGGACCGTGTGCACACAGTCCATCCCTTGGGACCGTGTGCACACAGTCCATCCCTTGGGACCGTGTGCACACAGTCCATCCCTTGGGACCGTGTGCACACAGTCCATCCCTTGGGACCGTGTGCACACAGTCCATCCCTTGGGACCGTGTGCACACAGTCCAACCCTTGGGACCGTGTGCACACAGTCCATCCCTTGGGACCGTGTGCACACAGTCCATCCCTTGGGACCGTGTGCACACAGTCCATCCCTTGGGACCGTGTGCACACAGTCCATCCCTTGGGACCGTGTGCACACAGTCCATCCCTTGGGACCGTGTGCACACAGTCCATCCCTTGGGACCGTGTGCACACAGTCCATCCCTTGGGACCGTGTGCACACAGTCCATCCCTTGGGACCGTGTGCACACAGTCCATCCCTTGGGACCGTGTGCACACAGTCCATCCCTTGGGACCGTGTGCACACAGTCCATCCCTTGGGACCGTGTGCACACAGTCCATCCCTTGGGACCGTGTGCACACAGTCCATCCCTTGGGACCGTGTGCACACAGTCCATCCCTTGGGACCGTGTGCACACAGTCCATCCCTTGGGACCGTGTGCACACAGTCCATCCCTTGGGACCGTGTGCACACAGTCCAACCCTTGGGACCGTGTGCACACAGTCCAACCCTTGGGACCGTGTGCACACAGTCCAACCCTTGGGACCGTGTGCACACAGTCCATCCCTTGGGACCGTGTGCACACAGTCCATCCCTTGGGACCGTGTGCACACAGTCCATCCCTTGGACCGTGTGCACACAGTCCACCCCTTGGGACCGTGTGCACACAGTCCAACCCTTGGGACCGTGTGCACACAGTCCATCCCTTGGGACCGTGTGCACACAGTCCATCCCTTGGGACCGTGTGCACACAGTCCATCCCTTGGGACCGTGTGCACACAGTCCATCCCTTGGGACCGTGTGCACACAGTCCATCCCTTGGGACCGTGTGCACACAGTCCATCCCTTGGGACCGTGTGCACACAGTCCAACCCTTGGGACCGTGTGCACACAGTCCAACCCTTGGGACCGTGTGCACACAGTCCATCCCTTGGGACCGTGTGCACACAGTCCATCCCTTGGGACCGTGTGCACACAGTCCATCCCTTGGGACCGTGTGCACACAGTCCATCCCTTGGGACCGTGTGCACACAGTCCATCCCTTGGGACCGTGTGCACACAGTCCATCCCTTGGGACCGTGTGCACACAGTCCATCCCTTGGGACCGTGTGCACACAGTCCATCCCTTGGGACCGTGTGCACACAGTCCATCCCTTGGGACCGTGTGCACACAGTCCATCCCTTGGGACCGTGTGCACACAGTCCAACCCTTGGGACCGTGTGCACACAGTCCATCCCTTGGGACCGTGTGCACACAGTCCATCCCTTGGGACCGTGTGCACACAGTCCATCCCTTGGGACCGTGTGCACACAGTCCATCCCTTGGGACCGTGTGCACACAGTCCATCCCTTGGGACCGTGTGCACACAGTCCATCCCTTGGGACCGTGTGCACACAGTCCATCCCTTGGGACCGTGTGCACACAGTCCATCCCTTGGGACCGTGTGCACACAGTCCAACCCTTGGGACCGTGTGCACACAGTCCATCCCTTGGGACCGTGTGCACACAGTCCATCCCTTGGGACCGTGTGCACACAGTCCATCCCTTGGGACCGTGTGCACACAGTCCATCCCTTGGGACCGTGTGCACACAGTCCATCCCTTGGGACCGTGTGCACACAGTCCATCCCTTGGGACCGTGTGCACACAGTCCATCCCTTGGGACCGTGTGCACACAGTCCATCCCTTGGGACCGTGTGCACACAGTCCATCCCTTGGGACCGTGTGCACACAGTCCATCCCTTGGGACCGTGTGCACACAGTCCATCCCTTGGGACCGTGTGCACACAGTCCATCCCTTGGGACCGTGTGCACACAGTCCATCCCTTGGGACCGTGTGCACACAGTCCATCCCTTGGGACCGTGTGCACACAGTCCATCCCTTGGGACCGTGTGCACACAGTCCATCCCTTGGGACCGTGTGCACACAGTCCATCCCTTGGGACCGTGTGCACACAGTCCATCCCTTGGGACCGTGTGCACACAGTCCATCCCTTGGGACCGTGTGCACACAGTCCATCCCTTGGGACCGTGTGCACACAGTCCAACCCTTGGGACCGTGTGCACACAGTCCAACCCTTGGGACCGTGTGCACACAGTCCATCCCTTGGGACCGTGTGCACACAGTCCATCCCTTGGGACCGTGTGCACACAGTCCATCCCTTGGGACCGTGTGCACACAGTCCATCCCTTGGGACCGTGTGCACACAGTCCATCCCTTGGGACCGTGTGCACACAGTCCATCCCTTGGGACCGTGTGCACACAGTCCATCCCTTGGGACCGTGTGCACACAGTCCAACCCTTGGGACCGTGTGCACACAGTCCATCCCTTGGGACCGTGTGCACACAGTCCATCCCTTGGGACCGTGTGCACACAGTCCATCCCTTGGGACCGTGTGCACACAGTCCAACCCTTGGGACCGTGTGCACACAGTCCATCCCTTGGGACCGTGTGCACACAGTCCATCCCTTGGGACCGTGTGCACACAGTCCATCCCTTGGGACCGTGTGCACACAGTCCATCCCTTGGGACCGTGTGCACACAGTCCATCCCTTGGGACCGTGTGCACACAGTCCATCCCTTGGGACCGTGTGCACACAGTCCAACCCTTGGGACCGTGTGCACACAGTCCATCCCTTGGGACCGTGTGCACACAGTCCAACCCTTGGGACCGTGTGCACACAGTCCATCCCTTGGGACCGTGTGCACACAGTCCATCCCTTGGGACCGTGTGCACACAGTCCATCCCTTGGGACCGTGTGCACACAGTCCATCCCTTGGGACCGTGTGCACACAGTCCATCCCTTGGGACCGTGTGCACACAGTCCATCCCTTGGGACCGTGTGCACACAGTCCATCCCTTGGGACCGTGTGCACACAGTCCAACCCTTGGGACCGTGTGCACACAGTCCAACCCTTGGGACCGTGTGCACACAGTCCATCCCTTGGGACCGTGTGCACACAGTCCAACCCTTGGGACCGTGTGCACACAGTCCAACCCTTGGGACCGTGTGCACACAGTCCATCCCTTGGGACCGTGTGCACACAGTCCAACCCTTGGGACCGTGTGCACACAGTCCATCCCTTGGGACCGTGTGCACACAGTCCATCCCTTGGGACCGTGTGCACACAGTCCATCCCTTGGGACCGTGTGCACACAGTCCATCCCTTGGGACCGTGTGCACACAGTCCATCCCTTGGGACCGTGTGCACACAGTCCAACCCTTGGGACCGTGTGCACACAGTCCAACCCTTGGGACCGTGTGCACACAGTCCAACCCTTGGGACCGTGTGCACACAGTCCATCCCTTGGGACCGTGTGCACACAGTCCATCCCTTGGGACCGTGTGCACACAGTCCATCCCTTGGGACCGTGTGCACACAGTCCAACCCTTGGGACCGTGTGCACACAGTCCAACCCTTGGGACCGTGTGCACACAGTCCATCCCTTGGGACCGTGTGCACACAGTCCATCCCTTGGGACCGTGTGCACACAGTCCATCCCTTGGGACCGTGTGCACACAGTCCATCCCTTGGGACCGTGTGCACACAGTCCATCCCTTGGGACCGTGTGCACACAGTCCATCCCTTGGGACCGTGTGCACACAGTCCATCCCTTGGGACCGTGTGCACACAGTCCATCCCTTGGGACCGTGTGCACACAGTCCATCCCTTGGGACCGTGTGCACACAGTCCATCCCTTGGGACCGTGTGCACACAGTCCATCCCTTGGGACCGTGTGCACACAGTCCATCCCTTGGGACCGTGTGCACACAGTCCATCCCTTGGGACCGTGTGCACACAGTCCAACCCTTGGGACCGTGTGCACACAGTCCAACCCTTGGGACCGTGTGCACACAGTCCATCCCTTGGGACCGTGTGCACACAGTCCATCCCTTGGGACCGTGTGCACACAGTCCATCCCTTGGGACCGTGTGCACACAGTCCATCCCTTGGGACCGTGTGCACACAGTCCATCCCTTGGGACCGTGTGCACACAGTCCATCCCTTGGGACCGTGTGCACACAGTCCATCCCTTGGGACCGTGTGCACACAGTCCATCCCTTGGGACCGTGTGCACACAGTCCATCCCTTGGGACCGTGTGCACACAGTCCATCCCTTGGGACCGTGTGCACACAGTCCATCCCTTGGGACCGTGTGCACACAGTCCATCCCTTGGGACCGTGTGCACACAGTCCATCCCTTGGGACCGTGTGCACACAGTCCATCCCTTGGGACCGTGTGCACACAGTCCATCCCTTGGGACCGTGTGCACACAGTCCATCCCTTGGGACCGTGTGCACACAGTCCATCCCTTGGGACCGTGTGCACACAGTCCATCCCTTGGGACCGTGTGCACACAGTCCATCCCTTGGGACCGTGTGCACACAGTCCATCCCTTGGGACCGTGTGCACACAGTCCATCCCTTGGGACCGTGTGCACACAGTCCATCCCTTGGGACCGTGTGCACACAGTCCATCCCTTGGGACCGTGTGCACACAGTCCATCCCTTGGGACCGTGTGCACACAGTCCATCCCTTGGGACCGTGTGCACACAGTCCATCCCTTGGGACCGTGTGCACACAGTCCATCCCTTGGGACCGTGTGCACACAGTCCATCCCTTGGGACCGTGTGCACACAGTCCATCCCTTGGGACCGTGTGCACACAGTCCATCCCTTGGGACCGTGTGCACACAGTCCATCCCTTGGGACCGTGTGCACACAGTCCATCCCTTGGGACCGTGTGCACACAGTCCATCCCTTGGGACCGTGTGCACACAGTCCATCCCTTGGGACCGTGTGCACACAGTCCATCCCTTGGGACCGTGTGCACACAGTCCATCCCTTGGGACCGTGTGCACACAGTCCATCCCTTGGGACCGTGTGCACACAGTCCAACCCTTGGGACCGTGTGCACACAGTCCAACCCTTGGGACCGTGTGCACACAGTCCATCCCTTGGGACCGTGTGCACACAGTCCATCCCTTGGGACCGTGTGCACACAGTCCATCCCTTGGGACCGTGTGCACACAGTCCATCCCTTGGGACCGTGTGCACACAGTCCATCCCTTGGGACCGTGTGCACACAGTCCATCCCTTGGGACCGTGTGCACACAGTCCATCCCTTGGGACCGTGTGCACACAGTCCATCCCTTGGGACCGTGTGCACACAGTCCATCCCTTGGGACCGTGTGCACACAGTCCATCCCTTGGGACCGTGTGCACACAGTCCATCCCTTGGGACCGTGTGCACACAGTCCATCCCTTGGGACCGTGTGCACACAGTCCATCCCTTGGGACCGTGTGCACACAGTCCATCCCTTGGGACCGTGTGCACACAGTCCATCCCTTGGGACCGTGTGCACACAGTCCATCCCTTGGGACCGTGTGCACACAGTCCATCCCTTGGGACCGTGTGCACACAGTCCATCCCTTGGGACCGTGTGCACACAGTCCATCCCTTGGGACCGTGTGCACACAGTCCATCCCTTGGGACCGTGTGCACACAGTCCATCCCTTGGGACCGTGTGCACACAGTCCAACCCTTGGGACCGTGTGCACACAGTCCAACCCTTGGGACCGTGTGCACACAGTCCATCCCTTGGGACCGTGTGCACACAGTCCATCCCTTGGGACCGTGTGCACACAGTCCATCCCTTGGGACCGTGTGCACACAGTCCATCCCTTGGGACCGTGTGCACACAGTCCATCCCTTGGGACCGTGTGCACACAGTCCATCCCTTGGGACCGTGTGCACACAGTCCATCCCTTGGGACCGTGTGCACACAGTCCATCCCTTGGGACCGTGTGCACACAGTCCATCCCTTGGGACCGTGTGCACACAGTCCATCCCTTGGGACCGTGTGCACACAGTCCATCCCTTGGGACCGTGTGCACACAGTCCATCCCTTGGGACCGTGTGCACACAGTCCATCCCTTGGGACCGTGTGCACACAGTCCATCCCTTGGGACCGTGTGCACACAGTCCAACCCTTGGGACCGTGTGCACACAGTCCAACCCTTGGGACCGTGTGCACACAGTCCATCCCTTGGGACCGTGTGCACACAGTCCATCCCTTGGGACCGTGTGCACACAGTCCATCCCTTGGGACCGTGTGCACACAGTCCATCCCTTGGGACCGTGTGCACACAGTCCATCCCTTGGGACCGTGTGCACACAGTCCATCCCTTGGGACCGTGTGCACACAGTCCATCCCTTGGGACCGTGTGCACACAGTCCATCCCTTGGGACCGTGTGCACACAGTCCATCCCTTGGGACCGTGTGCACACAGTCCATCCCTTGGGACCGTGTGCACACAGTCCATCCCTTGGGACCGTGTGCACACAGTCCATCCCTTGGGACCGTGTGCACACAGTCCATCCCTTGGGACCGTGTGCACACAGTCCATCCCTTGGGACCGTGTGCACACAGTCCATCCCTTGGGACCGTGTGCACACAGTCCATCCCTTGGGACCGTGTGCACACAGTCCATCCCTTGGGACCGTGTGCACACAGTCCATCCCTTGGGACCGTGTGCACACAGTCCATCCCTTGGGACCGTGTGCACACAGTCCATCCCTTGGGACCGTGTGCATGGCTGCGAAGCTCATCCTGCCCCTTCCCCTCCCTGCATTCTTCTCTTATTCCCGCACCCTCCTCCCACCAGCCTCCCTAGGCATAGCCTACTGCAGCATGCCCAAGGTGGCCTGCACGGGATGGAAGATGTGGCAGCGAGCCATGCTCAACCTGCCCAACCCCTCTGTTTACCCCTTCTGACCCCTTGTCACCCCTTGTCACCCCTTCTTACCCCATACCCCCCAACCAGCAACCCTAGGCTTAGCATACTGCAGCATGCCCAAGGTCGCCTGCACGGGATGGAAGATGTGGCTGCGAGCCATGAAGCTCATCATGCCCCAACCCCACCCTGTGTTCTTCCCCTTTTTCCCCCACCAGCAACCCTAGGCATAGCCTACTGCAGCATGCCCAAGGTCGCCTGCACGGGATGGAAGATGTGGCTGCGAGCCATGCTCGGCCTGCCCAAACCCCGAGACCCCTTCCTCGCACACAGCCACAAGACCTCAGGCCTGGGAGACCTCTCACAGAAGTATTCAGAAAAGCAAGCCACGAAGCTCATGACTCGCCGAACCATGTTCAAGTTCACGTTCGTTCGGAACCCGTACGTGCGGATAGCATCTACGTACCTGAACAAGCTCGTGATTACCGATGCTCCGGAGAGGAAGGAGGGGTGGGGGACGCGGAAGTTTTGGAACCAGGAGTTTTTCGGGACCGCAAAGAGGATTTTGGATTTGTTGAAGGATCCGGCGACCGATCTTGTGAGCTTCCCGGATTTTATTCGGCTGCTGGATCATCTGAGGCGGACGCGTGTCAAGACAGACCGGCACATCTCCAGACAGGTGAGACAAACACATCCCAGTGTGTACTTTGTTGGTGAGAGAGGCTTGCCATTTCAAACTATATTCGGCTGCTGGATCATCTGAGACGGACTCATGTCAACACGGACCGACACATCTCGAGGCAGTTGTGCTTTAGCATGTCTATATGTGTTGGGACTCTATCTGGCTATTGTGTTTTTGTATGTCAGTGTGTGAATGTATGTCAGGGGTATGGACGCCTGAATTGTTGGTGTTGTTGGTGCCCTCTGTGAGTTGCCTGAATCGTTGGTTTGGGGAAGAGGAATTTGGATTGGTTGAAGGAACCTGCGACATCTGTGGCTCGGCACATGTCAGATACAACTTTGTGGGTTCGTTCCGATCATTCGAAAGAGGATGTGAGGCAGGTTACTGCGATGTTTAATGATTCTCCCATTCGAACAATGTGTGTCTTTCTGATCACACTCCACTTCACTCCCAGGTCGACATCTGTGGCTCGGCACATGTCAGATACAACTTTGTGGATTGTGTTCCGATCATCCGAACGAGGGTGTGAGGCTTACTGCGAGGGTTTAACAACTCGCATTTCCAAGCAATGTGTGTTCGAAACAGTGTGTGTTTTCCTTTTTATCACCCTTCACTTCATTCCAGGTGGACATCTGTGGCCTGGCACACGTCCAGTGTGACTTTGTGGGTCGTTTCGAGCATTTGGAGGAGGATGTGAGGCGGGTTACGGCGAGGTTCAAGGACTCTCATTTCCAAACAATATTTTTGTTACTTTCTATCGCACGTCATTCCCAGGTGGACATCTGTGGCTTGGCACACGTCCAGTACGATTTTGTGGGCCGTTTCGAGCATTTGGAGGAGGATGTGAGGCGGGTTACAGCAAGATTTAATGACTCGCATCTTGACATTTTCAACTTTGGCAAGTCGGTGCATGCGACAAACTCTGAGGCGCAACTTGCTCGGCTTTATGACAGGGTAAGCTACTGTTTACACTCTATTGTGGAGGTTACAGTAAGAAACTACTGGCGTCTCGATTTCTTCCACTTAGGCAAGTCGTGCAAGCAACAAGAGCCCGGATCTATGACAGGGTATGTTTTCCTATTACACTTTTCTCTTATTACAATATGACAATAAAAGGTACTTAGGTGCACAACTCCCAAACCTCACCAAGTCGGTTCATGTTACAAACTCTGAGGCACCTTGACACCCTGACACCCTTTTAAAACAGGGTAGGTATTGTCACTTGCACCTTCAACATGGATCAAGCACTTCAGTAATGCCTGTGTTCTCACTGTCTTGTCTTCTCTTTCATGCCTCTGCAGGATACGGTGCTGACAGTCTCTCGCATATTCAAGAGTGACCTCAATGTTCCCCTCAACAACATCACGTATGACATGCCGGATATTCTGCGGAAACTTGTGGAAGGTGGTGCAAGCGGTGCCAAGGTGCAATGAACGCAGTGAAGGCGGGGTCACTGTATACAGCAACACATATGAGATACGGATGTTGAGGTTTGAAGTACCATATCGTTTCTCCAGAGCTATGTCTTCAGTGTCCAGGGAATAATTTTCCGAAGAGATGTCCTTGTACCAGTCGTTCTGTAGTTAATTCGTTGCTATGATATTCCTTGCTGAAATCTCAATTTTGCCTATATAGGTTACAGTGTTGTCGGTGCTTCCTCCCCCACTATCCTCCTGACGTGTTGCGCTCGCATTCGCGGAAAGCGTGGCCTGCCACTTGATTGGTGCGTGTAGTTGTGGAGAAACTTGTTGAATCGTCATGATCTGGATTTTGGTATGCTGTTTCACCAATCATCTTCAAATAGCCCCCACCCAAGATCTCCAGGATGGTTCGGGGGGCCACAGTGATCATGCTTGTGTGGACCACCTACGCGAAGTATGACGAAGATGCCTGCTGTCAAACCGCTTCCATCACACCACACCATTCACCACGCCGCAAGGTTCATCTTTTGCGAAACCAACGAAACGCTGCGACAGATTTACCATCACCAGAGCAATTGGTTGGAAAGTCACGAGGTCATCCACTTTTCTTGCGATTGGCCGAATTCGGATTGCGCTAATTGGGGACCACAGATGCTCCTGATTTTTCAATTGGAGGATCACGAGCAGAGCACGGTCGCTCCGCACTCGACCAATCACATTGCGACTAGGTCCAACATCCATTTCACCCCCCTCTACCCTATCCAGTGCTCACAGAGCCAGTCCCTCGCCTCGCAGTTCAAGAACCCGAATTCACGTAGCATTAGAACAAGAGTAGCTTCAGCTCAGCAGAAGCAGCAACTCACAGCTCCAGCTCCAATACTTTCTCAGCACAGCTTCTTCTGAGGCATCTGTCATCCATCTAAAATGGCTGCTCTCGCGAACGCCGCTGTGCTCCCGTCCACCTTCGTCGGCCAGAGCGCTGAGCTCGCCGCCAAGGTGAACAATGTGGAGGCCCGCGTGACGATGAGGAAGACCGCCAAGGCGGCTTCCAGCAGCGCCTTCTACGGCCCCGACCGCAACCTGTTCCTGGGCCCCTTCTCCTCCCCCCCGTCGTACCTGACCGGCGAGTACCCCGGCGACTACGGCTGGGACACTGCTGGTCTGTCCGCCGACCCCGAGACGTTCGCCAAGAACCGCGAGCTGGAGGTGATCCACGCTCGCTGGGCTCTGCTCGGCGCGCTCGGCTGCCTCACCCCCGAGCTCCTCGCGGGCAACGGCGTGAACTTCGGCGAGGCCGTGTGGTTCAAGGCCGGCGCGCAGATCTTCTCGGAGGGCGGCCTGGACTACCTCGGCAACCCTAGCCTGATCCACGCGCAGTCCATCCTGGCCATCTGGGCAACCCAGGTGATTCTGATGGGCGCCGTTGAGAGCTACCGCGTGGGTGGCCTCGAGGGCTTCCAAGAGGTGGAGGACCCCCTGTACCCCGGCGGTGCCTTCGACCCCCTGGGTCTGGCGGACGACCCCGACGCCCTCGCTGAGCTGAAGGTTAAGGAGCTGAAGAATGGCCGCCTCGCCATGGTGTCGATGTTCGGCTTCTTCGTGCAGGCCATCGTGACCGGCAAGGGCCCCCTGGAGAACCTGAACGACCACCTGGCCGACCCCACCGTGAACAACGCCTGGGCCTACGCCACCAACTTCACCCCCGGCGCTTAGATCTAGTTTCTTAAACCTGTACATTCCTTTTTCTTCTGATAATATATTTTTGTTCAACCTACAGAGCTTGTTCGCTGGACACTCTGATTCCTACAGCGCAACTGAAATGTTTGTCAAACTGCGCTAGTTACATGTTCTCAATTGCGCTAGATACATGTTCTCAACTGCGCTTGTTATACTCTCTCAACTGCGCTTGTTACCGTCTGCTCTCAACTGCGCAACCCTTGTTCTCTCGGAAGATTCGGTCATGGAACTCAGTAAAAGACCCCTGAGTTAAATAACCTCCCTCGTAATTTGGGTGAAAACTATGTGTCGCTTGTTCCTCACTACTGGGTGGTAACTAAATCCATCTAAAGATACCTAGCGGATAGACAAAAACAGTAGGTACGATACTATCCAGAAGTCCACTCGTAAAAAGCTTTCAGCATCCTAGCATTTTTATTTGTCTCTCCTTTTGATTGTGGTTAGAGTTCATCACTCAGGCACTGGATCTGGCAGCGACCTCTAAGTCAGGTACACGAAACATCAGTACCAATTTTATGGCATGTGACTAAACTGACAGAAACGTATCAACTGAGCTTTGCATACAGTATGAGCATAATCAGTCCGTCGGTCAACTCGTGGGTTCAATGAATAAATCCCTGAGGCATAGCTCGGACGCGAATAATGAGTATGTTGTGCTTGGACATCACGCCCATCATTATGAGCGGATGCGATTGTCGCTGTCCCAATAGCGGTTTGCCTCGTTTAGAGAATTCGTTGACACAAGGCGCAACTGGCATGGACATATTTTGTAAAGGTTGTGCGAAAATATATTCCTGAAAAGAAGGAATGTACAGGTTTTAAGAAATTAGATCTAAGCGCCGGGGGTGAAGTTGGTGGCGTAGGCCCAGGCGTTGTTCACGGTGGGGTCGGCCAGGTGGTCGTTCAGGTTCTCCAGGGGGCCCTTGCCGGTCACGATGGCCTGCACGAAGAAGCCGAACATCGACACCATGGCGAGGCGGCCATTCTTCAGCTCCTTAACCTTCAGCTCAGCGAGGGCGTCGGGGTCGTCCGCCAGACCCAGGGGGTCGAAGGCACCGCCGGGGTACAGGGGGTCCTCCACCTCTTGGAAGCCCTCGAGGCCACCCACGCGGTAGCTCTCAACGGCGCCCATCAGAATCACCTGGGTTGCCCAGATGGCCAGGATGGACTGCGCGTGGATCAGGCTAGGGTTGCCGAGGTAGTCCAGGCCGCCCTCCGAGAAGATCTGCGCGCCGGCCTTGAACCACACGGCCTCGCCGAAGTTCACGCCGTTGCCCGCGAGGAGCTCGGGGGTGAGGCAGCCGAGCGCGCCGAGCAGAGCCCAGCGAGCGTGGATCACCTCCAGCTCGCGGTTCTTGGCGAACGTCTCGGGGTCGGCGGACAGACCAGCAGTGTCCCAGCCGTAGTCGCCGGGGTACTCGCCGGTCAGGTACGACGGGGGGGAGGAGAAGGGGCCCAGGAACAGGTTGCGGTCGGGGCCGTAGAAGGCGCTGCTGGAAGACGCCTTGGCGGTCTTCCTCATCGTCACGCGGGCCTCCACATTGTTCACCTTGGCGGCGAGCTCCGCGCTCTGGCCGACGAAGGTGGACGGGAGCACAGCGGCGTTTGCGAGAGCAGCCATTATAAGAGACTGAAGGTGCCTCGAATCAGAAACTGTGGCTGAAGTATTCCTGGGGATAGTGAAGTTGATTGTGATGAGAAACAAGAATGATGGTGAGTTTTGAAGGCGTTCGGCCGCCAATGTTGCTGGTTAGGGGATGAAGGAAGTTGGATTCGGATAGGGTTGCGGGTGTTAGTTGTGTTGTTCTAAGCGGTTTCTGATTGGTTGCCTATGATCGCGAACCGCGTGGCGGAAGCGTTTTTGGCATTCTGAAATTATGACAAGATTCCCATTGGATGGATGCGTTGCGTGGTAACGAAATTTCAGTTCGGCCAATCGCGATGGGTTCGCTCGTTTCGTGAAGTGCTTTTGTGGTGCGCTGCAAACGTACAATCTGTGGCTACTGTATGATTGCGAAGCGGCAGCGACGCTTGGCGCAGGATGTCTTCCCAGATCGTGGGGATTTTTCTGTACAAGCGAGGGTCTGTTGAGCAATGAGCACACGTTATGCCATGTCGACACGTCACCAACAAAGCCAGAGCAGAGAGTTTAGCTAGTTGTAGTAAGTGAAGAGTTGTGTGAAACGTCCCTGAAGTGTACAAGGCCGGTTAGTAAAGAGTCAGCACTCCTATTGATCAAGCAGTACATCTTGAGGCCTGCCCTACTCATGGCCTGTCTTGGACTACAAGATCTGTCGCGGAAAATTAAAAGGATGACTACTCAGTATAACGAAATGCAATTTTAGGTGTAGAATAAACAGTGATTGCAGTGGTGGCCAGGCTAGTCTTCGTGGACATGTACAGCTTCTTTCTTGGCAGAGAGTGCAAAAATGACACAGATCACCTCCAAGGGCAACCCCTTTGTCTCCGGGACCTTGAGAAATACAAAGAGCCACGAGATCATGCTCATTGTGCAGAAGATGGCAAAGACCCCGGCAAGACCAAATCTTGCTTGAAGTAGAGGAAACGCCTGGCTGACACCAATGTTACACAGCCACATCGCAGCACCACACAGACCAATGCACAAGCCCCGAACAGGAGTGGGAAATATCTCAGAGCAGATGATGTTGGGAATTGGACCAAGACCCATTACGAATGCACAGCAAAATATTGTGACCCCTGCTAGCGAGCAGGCTGATTGCACCAATCCTGGACCAAGAGAAGTCGATGAAAACACTAGAAGTGCCAATGATGCTCCAATAACAGGGGTGGTGTATAGAAGAAGTTGCCTGCATAACAAAACATATGGTTCTAGCTGAGCTTGATGCAAGTGAATGAAAAGGCACATATCAGCACGTCATAGCACATACCTTCGACCCAAAGAATCCATGAGCAGCATAGCAGCAAAGATGCAGGGCAGCATAAGGAAAGCTGTAACGCCACTTGCCAACATGGATGACGATTCTGCTGTCAATCCATAATTCTCCAAGACGCTAGCTCCAGAGGACATGAGAATTGTAGGGGTGTAATACAGCACCGCATTGATTCCACACGCCTGTGAACAGAAAATATTAGATCAGCTACGAACAAAGATGATGCAATTTCTAACTGACGCATTTTCCTACCTGCTGGAGCACTTGAAGACCAACCCCTACAACAAGGGCTTGCTTCACACCAGGTTCTTTTAGACTGCTGAATCCTCCTTCAGCACCCTCTGACTTTGATGGATGCACCATGGCTGGGCCTTCTGTGTCGCACTCAAGAGGCGCCAATGAGTTCTGCTGACTGACAAGCACAGACACCTGAATGCCATCATCATCAAGAAGTTGAGTAGAGTCGGACAATGATTGCCCGAAACTTTGCTGCAGGATGTAGACCCTCTTCATCTCATCGTGATTCTGATTGTTCGGCTTTTCATCATCTCCCTCCACCTGACTGTAACCACCCTCAACTTGCCACATCAGCTGCCACCCGCCACCCAGTGACCCTGCTGTAGCTGTGGACGTCTGGTAACTGTTGTTCATGTCTAACGATGTCAACGAGGCCAGTGGTGGAACAGATGAAAAGACAGACTCCAAAACAGAAGACTGTCGCGAGAACTCCACAGAATTGTTGTCGGATGCACACGCAAGAAGTGGCGCTTGCAAGCTCTCAATATCAGAAGGAAGAACCGATTTCTCCTCCCCTGAAGAATTCTGGGATGGCCATGAGGATTGCATATTCTCGTTGTCTGTAATGGCCATATCACTTGCTCTTTGAATGTTGTCCATCAGCGTAACTAAGTTGTCAACTGGAAGGCTTCCAGATACGAAAATGGTGGATGAACGCGAGGGAAGAGCAGCTTCTTCATTCCCAGCTGTATCTGCAGCCGGACAAGCCATCCACTCACAACTCGAGTCCGGCCCAATCAACTTGACGGGTGCGATTGAATCGTGGTTTTTGTTTATATAATCTTCATCCACGGGCTTAATGACCCACTCCTCCAAAGAGATGTCACGGGAAAGTCCGAGGCCCTCGACTAACACAGCCAGCTCACCTGGCGAAAAACGTGTAAGATGAAGCTGATCACTCATACGTGTGAGCATTAGCAAGTTAGTAAGGGCTCAGCTTACCCGAAACATCTTGAGAACCGCGAAGGTACTGCAGAACAAGTCGTGCTTCTGCCATTCGACCCTTGCTGACAAGCCATCTAGGTGACTCGGGAAGCACAAGAAATAGTGCTAGAATGTAGAGGAGCGACGGTCCACATCTGAAATCAGGTAACGGATTTCAGCCACAGACGGAATGAGAACAAAACGAGATGAGAAACAAGTGAGAATTCTTACTCGATTCCAAGGATGAGTCTCCAATCCGTGTGTGGGGATAAGGAAAGGAAAAATGACACTGCATACGAAATAACCATAGCTCCAATCCCCATCAGCTGAGGAAGCGTGGCCAGCTGGCCACGGATTTCGGGTGGTGAGCATTCTGATATAAAGATTGGAGCGACTGTGGCAAAGAATCCAATGCTGAGTCCGACTAGGCTTCTCCCTGCGACGAGGTACTCCACGCTAGGGGACCATCCGCTGATTGCAGCGCCTGAAACAAAGCACCTTCTTGAATATCGGTGCTGTATTCAAGCATATCACTATCCGAAGAGTCGCATCTAACCTGAAAAAAACGTGAAAGCCGCAATCATAAGGACTGATTTTCTGCCGAGTAAGTCCGCAAAACTTCCAGCGATTAGAGTACTGAGTACGGAACCTGCGTTTATTCTCACATTGTCAGAATCAGGACAACTACAAGAACGTGGGATTCATCAGAGTTACAAACCCAGCAAAGATGCAGTCACGATCAATCCGACCGCAGTTGGCGATAGATGGAAATCAGGCACCACGTAGAGGAGCGACCCTAAGAAATAGAGGTCCAAGTCATTCACGATGGCCAGGTGTTCCAAATAATGACAAAATAAAAGCTTCACGCACCTGCTATCGCGGCATTGTCCCATCCTTGGAGCCCATTACCAAGAGCAGCACAAAGTGCCACGATCACGGCTCCAGATATCATTGCCCTAGACTTCTATTCAGCCTTGCAAGCGTGAAAACTTCGAACGGAATGATGCCGCTGTAGGCAAAATCATCACCTTCAGGAATTCTTCGGAATTCTGGTCTGAGCGAATTTTGTTGGCCTGCATTTGAGCTACATCATTCTAATATCGAGGATGCTTCGATTCAGTGCAAGATGCTTCAGCTGCGAAACATTGTACAGTTGATTACGCGAATTGCAGCCAGCACTCTCAACAAAGCGGGATGATTAAATCAACTTGTACGGTAACATGAATTCTGGTAATTGGTAATTGGTAATTGGTAATTGGTATTAATCATCTTCTGGTAGTACGTTGTGTAAGAAGGAAGATGTAGCATGCAATGCGGAAAGTCATTGCAAAGCCCAATAGCACAAGTAGGTCAAGCCACTTAGATTGCCCAGACAAGCCTGCCGCCTCAATAATCTGAGAGGACAACAGGGGAAGGATCAGGAAAACAAAATGAGCACTACTGTTACATACATACAGAGCAGGATGTGAGGTCAGATGTAAGAACCAGAGCAACAAGCATGGCCATTGATGATTGACATCACTCACCTGTGATCCTGTGCCTGCAAGCCCGAAGGTGGTGTCACTGTGGCTCCCGTACTCGTTAATTATGAGAGCATCCAAGGGGTACTTGAAGACTGACAGGTAGTGCATCCAGATCCAGTATGAAGGGATGTACTGTAGGGGATAATGTGAAAGGGACGGGAAAATAAGGGTGTGACAGTAATGCTGAGGTGCACGCTTGAAGGTGGTATCGCTATGGCTCCTTTACTCGTTGAGCATCCAAGGGGTACTTGAAGACTGACAGATAGTGCATCCAGATCCAGTACGAGAGGACGTACTGTTGGGGAGACAAAAAAAAGAGAATGCAGCAAATGGATGTAGCGGTCTGGTGTTATAAAAGTAAAGCATAGCGGATAATGCGAGCCCTCCCATTTCCAGGACACGTGCATGCAAGTGTCAGTGTCCAGCGATGATCACAGCATGAGTGCAGTGGAAGAAATTGAATAATTGGGAAAATTCTGTAATTTCCCATATTTCAATGCCTTAGCCACTTACCTTCTTGGCAATGAAGTAGCCTGAGAAGAGGAAGAATGCCCCCATGAGGCCAGCAATCATGGAGTTAGCTGTGATAAAGTCAGGTGCCATGGCCCTGAGACAAGGGAACAACCCACATGCACGGGAGGCAACACACATACACGGGAGGCAACACACATACACAGGAAGCATATAAACAATCAGGGATACAGGGGTGAAGAAAGAAGCCCCCCATGAGGCCAGCGATCAGGGAGTTAGCTGTGTTGAAATTAAGCACCATCGCACTGACACAAGGGAACAACCACATGAGGAGTTACGCGAGGAAATACTTACGCGATGCATGCAACGATTGCATTGGCTAAGATCAGCACGGCCGAGACGAGGAGGAAGAAGAGGAAGGTGGAGAGGGAGGCGTGCAGGCCGACTAGGAGGAGGACAAAGGGAGAGACCACGAGGATAGAGAGGGGTGGGGTATGGTTTCTGAGGGACTTACGCGATGCATGCGACGATGGCATTGGCGACGATCAGCACCGCCCAGACGACCAGGAGGAAGAAGAGGAATGCGGAGAGGGAGGCGTGCAGGCCGACGAGGAGGTAGGCTGGGATGGAGTAGAGGAGGGCGAGGAGCAGGAGGAAGGGCAGAAACACCGCCACACTGCGAGGGAGGGAAGGGAGAGTTGGTTGGGGGGAGAGAGGGGGAGAAAGGAACGGGGGGAAGGATGGAGGGTGGATTTTTTTCCTGGCATTGTCCTTGTGAGGTCACTGAAGCAGCTACCCATGGCAAAACCGATGGGTACACAAAAATAAGTGCTGCGTATAGCGAAACAACTTTCTATACAGAAATTGCTGCTTATAGCAAAACAAACTGCGTGTAGCGAAACAGCTGAAATATGGCATATCACTTACCTAGCGATGGCATACGAGGATATGCGGTAAGCGCCTCTTGATGTTTCTCGGAGAAAGATTTGCCTCTCCTGTAGATGTAGGGATATTGACAAGAGATCAGAAAATTTGCTTCAAATTTGTATGGTGTGTTGGAACGAAAGAAAAAGGCCTTGACACAAATGCCTTGACACCCTAAACCCTTAACCCTAAAAAAAAAGCATGACGGTAAGTGTGGCCATGGAGTCATGGCAGGTATGTGAGGAGCACTTGCCTCAAGAAACACAGGCAGGGCTTCGACAGACGAGGTGAGCAGGAAGGCGAGAGAGAAGGCAAAGAATCCCATGCGTTCCTTAGGAGAGGGAAGGGGGGCAATGGGGAGAATGGGGTGGAGAGGAAGAGTGGCGGGATGAAGACATAGGGCTTCGACAGACGAGGTGAGCAGGAAGGCAAAGAATCCCATGCGTTCCTGAAGAAAGCAGAGAATGGAGAGAATGGAGAGAATGGGGAGAATGGGGAGAATGGGGAGAATGAGGAAAATGAAGAGGATGGGGAAGGAGGATGTTCTCCCCATTCTCCCCAGTCTCCCCATTCTCCCCATGCGCCCCATGCGCCCCATTCTCCCCATTCCTGTATTCCGTCCGTCCCCATGTCTATCCCCTGAGGGTTGGACTGCAGGTGAAGAAAGGGAGTCCTCAAGCAGAAAGCAGTGAAGTCAACCTGAGAGGCCCTTTGCTTTCAACTGTTTTTAACTCTCTCCCCAGTTTCCAATTTCCCACAAGCTCCTCACCGCCACCCACAACCCCTCCTCACCCTCGCCTCACCTCTATCCCCTGGGGGTTGGACGGCAGGCGAAGAAACAGCGTTCCCAGGCAGAGAGCAGTGAAGGAGACCTGAGACAGAACTTGCTTGCATCTGGTTTTGTTAAAGAATCCCCACCCCTCCCTTACCTCTATCCCCTGGGGGTTGGACGGCAGGCGAAGGAAGAGAGTCCCCAAGCAGAGAGCAGTGAAGGCGACCTGAGACGCCCTCCCTCTTCCTATTCATGCTCTTGCAATCCCTTGCAAGTCCCTCACCTCTATCCCCTGAGGGTTGGACGGCAGGCGAAGGAAGAGAGTCCCCAAGCAGAGGGCAGTGAAGGTGACCTGAGACGCCCTCCCTAGACACAGCTCTGGGGTCCTGGCCATGTTCTGAAGGAGGGGTTGGTATGGGGAGAAATTATGAGCAAATGGAGACGGAAATCAAGAGCTGGAGTTGAGCCGTGATAACAAGCAGTGAAGGCGACCTGAGACGCCCTACCCAGACACAGCTCTGGCGTCCTGGCCATGTTCTGCAGGAGGTGAAAGGGAGAGGAGAGGGTTTGCTTGGTCACAGTTCCCTGAGAGGGTCACGCACTATTCTTCTTCTGCTTTGCGTGAAGGCGACCTGAGACGCCCTACCCAGACACAGCTCTGGCGTCCTGGCCATGTTCTGAGAGCGCACAAGGGAATAGAGAGCAAAAGGATGGTGAAGGAAGGAGAAGTACTATTTTTCATGCTACCACTCCCACATGGGACGGCAGGGAAGAGAACGAGATGGGTTGGGAAAGAAGGAACGTACCTTGAAGTTGCGGCAGCTGAGCCACCAGATCTCGTGCAGGGGCGATGTGGCATACTGGGGAAGGAGGGACGAAGCTTCACTCCCCGTACGGCTGCTGTCGCCTCTGCTGATGCTACTGCTGTCACTGTCACTTCCACTGCCACTACAGGTGCTGCTGCTGCCACTGCTGTTGCCGCGGATCGAGATCGGAACATCTTGGAACGGTGAGGATGGTGGCAAGGAGGACGGAGTGGGTGATGAGGAAAGGGGAAGCTCGTGAAAAGCATGGCCTTTGGTAGGAGTATCAACACCCGTTTCACCCTCAGCACCAGGAGCAGCAGCGCCAGCAGCAGCAGCAGCGACAGCGGCACCAGTACGGGACTCGCCATGGAAATACACGTTCCCAGCTGCTGCTGCTGCATGCTGCTGCTGCTGAAGGAGCTTCCACAGCCCACTGCCACTTGACTGCTGGGAAGTGGAAGCAGGGGAGGCACAGTGAACAAGAGTAAAGAGAAAAGGCTGATGGGCTGATTTTCTAGTAGAGGCTCCACAGCACCCTGCCGATTGACTGTTGGTGGAAGTGGTAGTGGAGCCAACAGTCAACCAGCAGAGTGCCTGCAGAGTGGACAAAATTCAGTCCTCTGTTGCCCCAAGGCAACGAGTGAGAGCTTGAACTCGAGAAAGAACTGTACAGCCCTCTCTCGTTGCATGGGGGCTGTGCAGCCCCCCTCTCTCGTTGCATGGGGGCTGTGCAGCCCCCATGCGGATCAACTTTGCAACTTTGCCCCCATGCCCTCCATAGCAGATCCAAGTGCGTTGACCCCATGCGAGTCAACTTTGCCCCCATGCCCTCCATAGCAGATCCAAGTGCGTTGACCCGCATGGGCACAGTACAGCCAGCAGCAGCAAGGCGGGCCTCGAGCAAAGAGAAAGGAGCAACGCAAGGAGACTCTTCAAATTAACTCAAGAGTCTGATGACAACAGAAAGAAGGAGAACAGAGGGTAAGAAACGAACTTACCCCCATGCCTTCCATGGCGTATTCGAGAGCGTTGACTCGCATGGGTACGGTGCAGCCAGCAGCAGCGAGGCGGGCCTCGAGCAGGGAGAGAGGGCCGCAGTGAACCACAGATCCTCGGGAGAGCAGCAGGAGGGAGTCGATGAGCTCTAGCATGCGGAAGCTGGGCTGAGGGGGGGAAGCAGTGAGGGATGGGAGCAGGTGGGGGAAAGAACAGAGCGATTGAGAGTGGTGGGGGGAGAGCAGCAGGAGGGAGTCGATGAGCTCTAGCATGCGGAAGCTGGGCTGAGGGGGGGAAGCAGTGAGGGATGGGAGCAGGTGGGGGAAAGAACAGAGCGATTGAGAGTGGTGGGGGGAGAGCAGCAGGAGGGAGTCGATGAGCTCAAGCATGCGGAAGCTGTGCTGCGAGGAGGCGTATGGGAGGGGGGAGAAGGTGGGAAGAGTGGGAACGTGATTTCTGTTTAAGCAGGTCGAGCAGGGAGAGAGGGCCGCAGTGAACCACGGAGCCCCGAGAGAGCAGGATTCGATTAGCTCTCTCATGCGGAAGCTGGGCTGCGAGGGGTGTAAGGGTGGGGATAGAGTGTGGGTGTGGGGGAACGGGGGGGGTGGGGATAGAGTGTGGGTGTGGGGGAACGGGGGGGGTGGGGATAGAGTGTGGGGGAACGGGGGGGGTGGGGATAGAGTGTGGGGGAACGGGGGGGGTGGGGATAGAGTGTGGGGGAACGGGGGGGGTGGGATAGAGTGTGGGGGAACGGGGGGGGTGGGGATAGAGTGTGGGGGAACGGGGGGGGTGGGGATAGAGTGTGGGGGAACGGGGGGGGTGGGGATAGAGTGTGGGGGAACGGGGGGGGTGGGGAAGGGAACCAGCTTCGAGCAGGGACAGAGGGAGAGCAGCAGGAGGGAGTCGATGAGCTCAAGCATGCGGAAGCTGGGCTGCGAAGGGGGGAGAAGGAGGGGAAGGGGAAGGGAGGGGGGTGTTGAAGGGCTGTTCGTTCATTGGGTCGAGCAGAGAGAGAGGGCTGCAGTGAACCACGGAGCCCCTTGAGAGCAGCAGGAGGGAGTCGATGAGCTCGAGCATGCAGAAGCTGGGCTGAGGGGGGGAATAGGGGCTGGGGAAGAGTGTGGGGGAACAAAGGGAAACAGGGGTAAGGGGGCAACAGAGGGGTGGATAGTGGTAGTGAAGAGTAGCAGGAGTGAGTTTATGAGCTCAAGCATGCGGAAGCTGGGCTGCGAGGGGGAGTAGAGGGGTGTGGGAGGGAGAAGGGTGGGGAAGGAAGAGGGTGAGAACGAGGGAAAAGGGGACAAGCCGGTAGGAGTCCACAGTAGCAGCAGCAGCAGCATTGAGAGCCTACTTGTGGGATAGTCCAGAAGCCTGACTCGGCCCCTCCCTGCTCTACTCTCCCACTCGCCTCACCTGGTGTAAGGAAAGCACGACCGTCCTTCCCCCCTCCTTGGCCATGCCTCTCAGCACGCCCAGCACGTTGGCAGCAGCAGCGCTGTCCAGCCCACTGGTGGGTTCATCCAGCAACAGCCAGTCACTCAGTCCCCCTCTTGCCTCTCCTTCCCTTACTCAGCCCCTGTCACACCTCTCACTCCTATTCGCATTCCCCTTCTCACTCCCCTGCTCTTACCTGGTGTATCGACAGCACCACAGTCCGCTCTCCCTCCCTGGCGATGCCCCTGAGCACGCCCAGCACGTTGGCAGCAGCAGCACTGTCCAGCCCACTGGTGGGTTCATCCAGCAGCACCACTCATTCACCCTCTTGTCTCCACCTTCCCAGCACCACTCCCCTGCTCTTACCTGGTGTATCGACAGCACCACAGTCCGCCCTCCCTCCTTGGCCATGCCTCTCAGCACGCCCAGCACGTTGGCAGCAGCAGCACTGTCCAGCCCACTGGTGGGTTCATCCAGCAGCACCACTGCTGGGTTGTGGACCAAATCCATTCCTATGGACACACGTCGTCGCTCTCCTCCTGATAACCCCCTCCCCCTGCTGCTGCCGGCACTTGTGCTGCCGATGCGTGTGTGGGCGACAGCCTGGGCCAGGGAAAGAGGGAGGAGTGGGGGGGAGGAATGGGGGTAAGACAAAAGAACGAGAAAAAACAGGGAGGAAATGGAGTTGCTGTTGTGGGTGCAGCCCACTGGTGGGTTCATCCGGCAGCAGCACTGCCGGGTTGTGTACCAAATCCATGCCTATGGACACACGTCGTTGCTCCCCTCCTGACAGCCCCCTCCCCCTGCTGCGGCCGGCACTCGTACTGCCGATTCTGGTATGGGCGACAGCCTGGGGTGGGCAGGGGTAGGGAGAGAGCAGGGAGAGAGGGATGGGGGTAAGAGTTACTAGGAGGAAGTGGGGCTTTTGTGGGTGCAGCCCACTGGTGGGTTCATCCAGCAACACCACTGCTCGCCTCTTCTCTCCTCCAGATAACCCTCTCCCCCTGCTGCTGCCCGTGCTGGTCGCCCCAATTCTGGTGTGGGCGACAGCTTGGGGTGGGGGGAGGGAGAGAAGGGCGGGGTGGGGGCAAGAGAAAGGAGATTTCTGAAAATTCTCCTACATCGCTCGCAAGGTATCTAGGAGTAATGCTCCCTCTGAAACACCTGGATTACCGCGAATCGAAACATGTGCACGGCTGTGCGGACGGACGGCTACACTACAGCCCAGGTACCTGGAGGCCGAGGGTGGTGAGAAGGGCGACCACGCGGGCGAGCTGGTCCGCGATGGGCAGGGAGGAGGGCAGGCGGAGGTGTGCCGAGAGAGGAGCGACTGACTGGCTCTCACACACCTGTTACCACGAGCAGCCCAGTTACTCGTGCGAGTATGGTACGCCTTACCTGCAGGCCGAGGGTAGCGAGGAGGGTGTCCACGCGGGCGAGCTTGTCGGCTAGCGGCGGGGAGGAGGGCAGGCGGAGATGGGCCGAGAAGAGAAGGACTGGCTTTGAGGCGCTCGTTTCCATGAGCAGCACACTTACCTGTGCGATTGTAGTAACAGGCGTGTTATGCTGTGCCTGTGAACCAAGGGTGGCGAGGAGAGCGTCCACACGGGCGAGCTACGTGTATGAAGATCTGTTTTGAGACGTCTCAAAATAACAGGCGTGTTATGCTGTGCCTGTGAACCAAGGGTGGCGAGGAGAGCGTCCACACGGGCGAGCTTGTTGGTGAGTGGCAGGGAGGAGGGCAGGCGGAGGTGGGCGAGGAGTGACCCGCTTTTGAGGCGCCTGTTACCATGAACAGCACGATTATGTGTGAAATTGTGGTACACCTTACCTGCAGGCCGAGGGTGGCGAGGAGAGCGTCCACACGCGCGAGCTTGTCGGCTAGCGGCAGGGAGGAGGGCAGGCGGAGATGCGCCGAGAAGAGGAGCGACTCGCGAGGAGTGAGGTGTGGGAAGAGCGCATCGTCTTGCTGCACGTAGCCTGGGTGGTGGGGGGAGGAGAAGTGAGAAGAAGGAGAAATCCAAGGGAATGAGAGAGGCTAAGTGGTGTCTCCATCTGCTTAGGAAAGAGCGCATCGTCCTGCTGCACGTAGCCTGGGTGGTAGGGAGGATTGAGGGATTGAAGGAAGGAGGGGGGAAAGGAGGAGATCGAAGGGGGAGTGGGCAAGGTCATGCGTGTCTCAGTTTACTGAAGAGAATGAGGGAAGAGTTCATCATCCTGCTGCACGTAGGCTGGGTGGTGCGGAAGGATTCAGCACTGTTTCGCGACTGGAACACCCACCTGAGATTCACCTGAGCTCGCCTGTGCTCATGCGCTGCTCGTTCACCAGGATGCTTCCTCTCAGCCTGCCGCCACCACAGACACTTTATCCTCGCAAAGAGAGCACCCAGGGAAGGTGACCCATCTGAGATTCGCCTGAGTTCGCCTGCCCTCATCCGTTGCTCGTTCACCAGGATGCTTCCTCTCAGCCTGCCGCCACCAGAAACAGTCCACCTTCCAGCAGTGCCCAGAGAAAGTAACTCACCTGAGATTCTTCTGAGTTCGCCTGCGCTCATCCTCTTCCCGTTCACCAGGATGCTTCCTCGAAGTCTCCCCCCTTAAATCCGCCCGCCAATGCAGTCCAGCAGCGTTGACTTGCCCGCCCCACTCGGCCCCGCCACTGCCACCACCTGTCCTGGCCTCCGCCATCCCGACTGCCTTCTCCAACCCTCACACTCACCTCACCAGAAGCCACTCTCCCTACTCTCGGCATTCCAGACTCTCTGCTCTCTGCGTTCCAGACCCATTCGCCATGACTCAGAAAGGGAGCTCACCTGAGATTCGCCTGAGTTCGCCTGCGCTCATCGTCTGCCCGTTCACCAGGATGCTTCCTCGCAGCCGGCCGCCCTGAATCCGCCCTCCGATGCAATCCAGCAGCGTTGACTTGCCCGCCCCACTCGGACCCGCCACTGCCACCACCTGCCCTGGCCTCGCCACTGCACTCACGCCCACCAGCAGTGGGAGGAAATCCGCAGGCGCGTGTGGAGCAGCATGTGGCGCGTGTGGCGCATCAGCGCCAGCAGCAGGAGAGTGCAGAGCAGCAGCAGCAGCTTCAGCTGGAGGTTGCAGAGCAGCAGTAGGAGCAGCATCAGCAACATCAGCAGTGGCAGTCTTAGTAGTAGCTGGTATGAACGGCACCCACTTGGAGAGTGACTGGGTGATATAATCGAGGGAGGAGGATGCAGGTGCGGGGATGGAGTAGGAGAGGTTGTCGATCGAAATAGTGTAACACGTGCTGGTGGTAACCATACTCTGTTCATGGGAGTCCCACGTCTTGCTTGGGGTAGCCTTCTTTGGCCCTCCTCCTATGCTGCTGCTGCTCTTGCTGCTGCTGCTGGTGCTCGTGCTCGTGCTCGAGCCAGTGGCATCAGAACCGCCTGTATCGCTCGAAACGCTCTCTGTGCTCTTGTTGCTGCTGCTCCTGTGCTGCTCTGATAACCCTCCGATTTGAATCTCGTTCTCAAGATCCCCACCACCAAAGCCAACACCAACACTGCCAGCACCATATTCAGGGAGCGGCAAAAACAATCCCCCTTTCCATGCGCTTGCTTCGCACACCAAGAAGCGCTCTCCAGGAGCAAAAGAGATACTCCCAGGCTCAGTGGCCTGACATCCATGCCTTGCAGATTGGCTGCCGGGCTGATAGTGGTGACCACTATAACGAGTATGACTGGCACTGCTGCTCCCGGCCTCGGCCTTTCTCAGAGCCATTTGCCTTCCCTTATCTGTCCCTCCTCTGTCACATAAGAGGGAATTCGAACCATCAAACGAGCCTCTTGGAGGGTTGTTCACTGCTGACGCAGCAGACGCCCGGGTCCTCGCTTTCCTTAGGGCCTCCACATCAAGCGCGCACACTGATGACATGGCACCGTGTCAGCGCTGATATGAGGAGTAGCTGACGTCGGAGGATGCACCGACCGTGGTGAGCCAGTCCCACCTGACTGGCGGTTTTCACGTTTTGAGACGTCTGAAAATTCGAGGATTCGAACGAGCGTGGTGTGCGAGTAGCGATTGGCTGACTTTACCCTCAACAGATGGTTAGGTGGGTGTCGACGGTGCGACTACAATCAACCAGTGAGGGGAGAGTCGAGCACAGCTGCTGCAGTTCAAGCCCACAGCAACTTTCTATTCGCTGAACAAGGAAGCGTGCAAAATACACCTCGGTAGAGAGATCGACGTGCCTGTCAACAATGAATGTTGAGAGCATGGGTTCTGCTCTTATGACGAAGTAAGGACGCAAAGTGAGTGAGTTTCTCTGGCTCTTATTCAGTTCTCAGGAGCGACGCTCCGGGGTGTGCGACGAGTACGCTCTGAGCTGGCGACTACCCCGTGCGACACAAACTGAAAACGACGACGACGTCGTCTGCGACCTGTAATCGGCAATGGCACGCGATAACGACGGGAAAGAGGCTGGGGAAAGAGCTGCGAGTGTTTAATCAGGAATAGCTGTAAGGGAGAAGAGCCATTGCGACTATTATCGATTCGTTGGCACGGACCGATTGGTTGCGAAGCCATTGTGATAACGACGGACGTGATTAGCTCAGTTGGAAAAGTGCAATCCGTGTGGAGGGAGATTGAAATCGCAGGCTGTGTGAGAGCGAATGCGACGACGAGCAGTCACGAGCCGTCAACTGCACGGCGACGAACGATCAGCATGCGACGCAATCGCAATCGCACGTGTCAATCGCCGGCGACAACCGCAGGCCAGTGTAGCGAACCCGAGAACCGCCGACCAGCACGAATGAAGAAATCAACGAAACGAGAAGAGCGGTCAAAAGGAAACGATTAGTGGTCAGCGACTCAGCGGTCACTGATCAGGACTAGAAAATGACCTGTGACGGCAGGGCGTGACAAGCAAGGCCTTGTATCTAGCGAAGGAATCTGGCAAAACATGAGCTCGATTTCAGTCTACTGCTTATGGAAAGATCCAGTCAATTCTCAAGTAGAGGGAGATGGCGACATTCCCTAGGCGATTCACGCTGATGGCGACGATTTCAAGGCAGTACGAAAGTTTGCTGATGCGCCCATTTTCACCGTACTGCATCGTACTGTAACTCTCTGCAACATACTGCGTTTTGCATCCCCGCAGTGTTCGCATTTCGGGTTGCCAGGGACCACATCCTCGTTACAGTGTCGTCGTCTTCAACGTAAAGGTGATTTCGAGATGTGAATTTTGGTAATGGGGGCGATGACTGCTTTTACTAGAACCTCATCGCCATATTAGAACAACCATGTTGAGATACTATAAGTCTATTACTTATTCAAGTTAATGATAAAAACATCTCCAATCTCCAATGTTAGCATCTGAGAGGGAGCATCCTCCGCTAATGAGCGGAGAGTACATTGTGCATCAGAGACTGTTGAATTATGCTAAGCCAACGCACATTTACGGTAAGAGGAAATGCTTGATTTCGATTGACATTTATATAAACAGATTGGGGTTACAACAGGTCCAGCAGTACATGGTACAGCAGTCTCAGCCATTCATCTGGCGGACCAGGCAGGCAATAATGCAGGCAATCCCGGGGGGGTTCTTGATGCCCATCTGGTCTCCCAGCAGTCATGGGTACAATATCCATAAACACCCCTCCCACACCCTCCACCAACTTTCTCGCCTCCTCATTCTGCTCCGCAAAATCGCCCCAATGATAGGGCATTGCCGAAGGATCCGATATTCCAATCGACGGAACCGAATCTCGCGTACAGTTTTTATGTCCCGTGGCAGTGCTTCTGTAGATTATAAGAAGGTTGGGTGCAGCTGCTCTGACTGTAGTTAACGTATGATTAAGCTCGGCAATAAAAAAGGGTGTTTCCACCCAATGGGCCCCTCGGTTGAGCACAAGAACCGATATGGGAGGAAAGGGGTCATCGTTGGGAAATGATGCTGTGAGCTTCCTGAAATGCCGTTGGAAATACTGCCAATACGTGTCTTCCTGCCCAGTTTTGCTGGTAGCCAGATCTTTATTCGCAGAAGCTTGTGCGGTTGCAGAAAACGGCCACTTCACCTGCCTCCTCTGTGTCACCTGCATTTTCAGCCTCTTCTGCTGCTCCAACCACTCCATCTTTTCTCTCTGTTCCTGTCGCTCCTCCTGCTGCAGCATCCTCCTCTCCTGCTGTCGTCTTCTCTTCTCCTCCTCCCTTCTCTTCTTCTCCTGCTCCTTCCTTCGCTTCTCCCTCACCGCCTCCCCCTTCACAATCACATCAAGCCACGGCACAGAAACCCGTTTTGGGAGTTTCACATACAGGTGTAAGTCAGTGCTAATCACATCGTCCCGCACGAACATGAACTTGGTTCGACCCAGCGCAACCCCGGTGCACAGAAGCAGGTATGGCCGCTGCTGCAGAAGCCTGTTCTTGGTGCGGCTCTTGCAGAAAGCAGGAGTGAAATCGACTTGTTCGAGTGATTCTCCCTCTGCTTTACGGCTGTCCTGCTGCTCCCCTTGCTGCACACTACGGGGCATCGATGCCTGCCTGAAACGATTCTTTAGTGACTTGAACAGCATTGCGTTTATCGAATCCCCCACTATAAACACAGTCAACCCCTCCAGTTTCTCCGCCAGTTTCCCCTTGTCTACCTCCCCCCACTCTCCACACCTCTCCTCAGGAACCCACTTATACTTCAAAGTGTCCCGCACCTTCCATTCCTCTGCCGAACCTCCTGCCAAAGCTATCTCATCTGCTTCCCTAAAGGCGACGTTCTTATAACGGGAATTGTTCTGCTCAGGCTGGATCCTCCACCTATCATCACACTCCCAGCCCGCACTGACCGCGTGAGGTTGAGACCAGGGGAGGGTGCGGGGAGTAGGGTCCAGCTGCCACGTGGCGTTCGTTGATAGGCACGCGAGGCGGGACTGAAACGCGAGGAGCTGATTGGCTGAGGTGAAGCGGGAACCGGGGATGGTTGGAACGGGGGGAAGAGGGGCCGCTGGAGGATCCGCGATTGGGAGACTCAGATCAGGCTTCTCATGAGATTGCGGCGAATTTTTAGGGTCGGTAACGATGGTTGAGATTAAATCTTCTGGAGATACTACTAGCACCTGAGGCTTGCTGCTGCTGGTAGTAGTATTGGAATCTTGCGACATTGCCTGAGAGCTGATGCTAGGAGCAGGGAGGCTGCTGGTACTAGGAGCAGGGATGCTGATGCTAGGGTTAGCGGTGATAATGCTAGGGGCAGGGATGTTGCTAATAGGGGCAGCCGTGCTGATGCTTGGGGCTGTTGTGGTGCTGCTGGCGTCAGGTGATACTGGAATTGACTCGAGAAACGAATCAGGCGAAGCTGCGGGTGCAGACGCGGTAACCACAGGGGTGCTGGTAACCATAGGCGTGGGAACCGCAGCTGAAGGATCCAGCGGCCAGGATTGGGGAAAGGCGTCCGAGAAAAGTCCATAATAAATCAGAAGCAGAGAGAGGAAGACGACGGCCGGTAGCAGCAGCGGACGGTATACGTTGTTACTGCCCGAGCCTTGAGCAGCCATTGCAATCGATCTGGAAGGATTCGGTGCGGTTCCCGTATGTAGATCTAGCTTAAGACCATATTACCATAACATGTTTCCGGATAATACGGCTGAAATGCCAAATTCCGCCTCGTTAGAACTGAATCAATATCTGACGCTTCGTTGCCTATGCGAATCTGGCTATTTCGGCTAATTAGCAGCAGACTGGAAAATTCTGGGTCTGATTCGAGGCCGACGATGACCATCATTGAAGTCCGTTCGAAAACAGAGATAATGAGAGCAAAAAGGGAGAAGATCATACAGGGGCCGAACAGTGCCAGAGGGGTGATCGACCAGGGGCCGAGAGGCCCG